CATTCCCTTCCCTCGTTTTTCCAAAATCACATTTTTTATTATGCAAAATGACCCCAAAAAATGAAAAGGATGGCAATTCAGGTTAAGAATCGCACAAAAAAAAACCATTTTCATTCTAATTATGTGCACATTGTTTTATTATTCTTTGCAGATCTTTCTATATTAAGTGTTTCACTTGATTTATGTAAGAATTTCAATTTTTTAATGTCAGTGGAACTCCTTTAAGTTGAATTGAAGTTGTGAACTCTAAATGCAATAAACCATACGTCATGTTTTTTAACATATGAGCTTTTGTCAAAAAATATGGAAGCTGGCCAATGACAAATATAGGAAACTGATGCTTGTTTTACTTTATATGGCAATAAACGGTAACATATTACTGGTAACGTAAATATGCAACTTTAGTGCAGACGATAAAAATTGCATGCAAGAGTAATCAATGTTTTACCTTATATAGTCATAAGCTGTTTCCATTCGAAACAGGTGAACTGTAGTGTGCAATTTAGTATTGCAGACGACAAATTGCATGCAACACAAGCAGCCTATAAACTTGCACGCGCTCTGTGCGTCTGAATTGCAGCCGTAAATTATGACTTTTATCAATTGAAGTTTTTTTATACGGATGAAATTTCACTACTTTAATTAAAATACAGCATTCGATAAATTCAATAGAATGGGAAACTGTAAAATTTTATATCATTTTATAATTTCAAACGCATGTTCGTGAAAGGGAAAATAAATTTCACCAGTTTTTTGTCCAAATTCTCTCTTAATGTTAAAGATGTCCAAATTTGACATTTGAAAATATTGAAAATTGCTGCAAAGGCTATTTGTTAAAGCCAGATGAGTAAAAATATTTCAATAAATCAAAATTGATAAAAATGTACTAAGATGTAAGGAAAAGTAAAAAGTTTCAAGATGCAAGTAATATTTTACATATTATGTGCGATTAATGACTGATTTTTTTCAGTATTTACAACTATATTTCTACTGCGTTACTAATGCAGTAAAGTCTATTTATGCATATTTTGACCACTTTTTGGTAATTTACGTGGTTTGTAAGTGCCGCTAATAATCTGTAAATTGCTTCCTTTTGGATATTTCACAATATAACACATTCAAAGATATGTTATGTTTTAAACTCTTCACACAATCTGAATTTAAAAAAACTGGCATTTGTTGTTGTTGTTGTTTATTCAAATTAGACAGATTCAGTAAGAATTTCATAGATTTAATTATTTCCTGTGATAAGAATATTAAACTCATAGATAGGCATAGTATATCTTTAAGAGCGCCAATGAATCATTAAACAAAATGTGAAAAAGAAAAAATGTTTTCAAGGTAAAAATTGTAAATGGAATTATAAATGTGTGTAAAACATGCTTATTATTCGTATCATCAAAACGTTATTTAATAATTACATGCTAAAATGGCATGCCTTGCTCAAAATTCATACAGAAGAACTTGCACCAAGCACTATTTACCTACAAATGAGCCGCGTCACGACAAAACCATCATAGTGCGTTTGCGACCAGCATAGATCCAGACGAGCCTGCGCATCCGCGCAGTCTGATCAGGATCCAAGCTGTTCGCTATCAGTTTCTCTAATTGTAATAGGGTTGGTAAGCGAACAGCATGGCTCCTGATCAGACTGCGCGGATGCGCAGGCTGGTCTGGATCCATGCAGGTCGCAAACCCATTATGTTGGTTTTGTCGTGACGCGGCTCAAATGACTTGCATAACAACAAGTGGTAAAATGCCTCTTAATTTATTTTTAATGGAAGTTATAAAACTTGACACGTTAAGTTGATACGTTTTGAATGAGTTTTGTTCAAGTGCTTTTGTATTGTATAGACAGGTAGCCAAAGTTCTGATGGCGCCAGATTGGATTAAAAAGTTAGTGCCACATCTCTTTTTTTCAACAAGATTAAAACATTTAGTACGGATTTAAACCTTTATGGCTCACCTTGATCACAGCGATCAGGAATAAAATACAATCTTATTTCACGGTGCATATCCATATCGGTACACTCTTTGCGAAATCTGCTCAAACGGTACCCTCTTTGAACATGCACAGGTCATTCTCTGCTAAAAACAAACCAGCGATGGATAACAATCCAGTAAAATTTCATTGTAATAAGGAAAGAAGGTATGACACGCAGAAAAGATGTATACCACGGAACACTATAGAATGTTTTATTTATGTGCTGATTTGTCATGTGCCCGATTTTCATGTACTGCGACTTCACAATAAGCTACAAAAAGTCGACATGTCTTGCCTCGTCCATCACCTCGACATATTTTTCGGGCTGAAATAAACCTGTGGCTTGGTTATATATGCATCATACATATTTAATATGTTTATATACATATCATCTTCGGACAAATGGGTGTATATTGTCAAAAATAAATGTAAAATTCATAAAAATACCCTACTTTCGGTTTTGCAGCGGCACGGGCTACCTCTCTTCTCACAGGTACCCTCTCATTTTTGAACACATAGGTACCCTCAAAGCACGACATATGCTTTTATGTGCATTAATCGTTAAGTATGTAATATTTACATAAAAGTAAGAAATATTACATACATACTTAACGATTAACGCAAATAAAAGCATATGTCGCAAAAGAGGGTACCGATATGGATATGCACCGTGAGTATTTGCTCTATTTCAATATAAATAATATGCAAATTGTTTTTTTGTAATCGCGATAAAAGGGGAAAAAGAGGTTTTTCGGTCAAACGACAAACCATAGATGTATAGCAACAAAAATGCGACATTCTAGCAAAGCCTCGGGAGAACTACCGACCTTCCAGAACGGGCACCCCAGTAAAGCCACCGACCTTCCGAAAGTTTGCTGGATACTAGTAACTTCCAACTCTTCAAAGATAACTTTCAGGTGTTACTTGTTATTTTTATTATTATTATCATTACTATTTTTTTAATATGGTATTAATTTCAGCACCAATTTAGTGTATTGTTGTTATCTTATTGTTCTATCTCTATAATTCAGACATACACATTTATACATCATTACCAATGGAATTTATAGTTAAAGGGGACATTAAAGAGCAGACACACTTGAAAATACTTGCATTTAAGTTGTAATTTATTGCAAGGTTTCTGTCGCTCTTCAGCACAACTTTGATAACTTGGTGGTAACCCCTTATCTGACAAGCCCGTCTTGTATTCGGGGATAATAGGACACATTACGCCTTTTCAGAACGCCCATTTCAAGTAGAAAAAAAAGTTTAATATATCAAGAAATAATTTATAAAACATTTGAACCGGATAACAGATAACTAAAATCCAAAATTGAAGAGGAGGTGAAAATGATAACAAAATCTTGAGGTGGTGACTTTAGTGATACCTTGTTTGGGCGGTGGCATGATATCATATTAAATATTATCAGGATATTTAATTAGATGCAAGGCAAAGCCCTACACCATTTGATCACGTTTCAAATAAATATAAATTTCAGCACTTTTTTGCACGGGGTAGTTAAATATATGTGACAGGTTTATTTTTCACAGATAAAAAGAATAAAAAAGTACATCTTATGCATACTATAAAATGCGCAGTGTTGGTGCAACGGTTGAAATTTCAGTTGCACTTTATGTCAACCCCGTTGTTTATCATTGAAGAACTTCGTTAATTGGAGACATTTCCTATTTATCAAAATGCCTATTAACGGATGCAATTTCCTATCTGTAAATACTCGCCGTCAAGACGATTTATGTGTCGCTGTTGGGTGCCTGCAGAAACTAGCTTCCGTATTATAGACGAGACAATTGCAAAAATAGGATATCGTTTTACCTGCACAGTAGGTGCCGTATTTATGATATTAATGACTACAATTGGAGCTTTATTATGCATCTACTGTAGTCAAGGACAATGTAACCCTTTGTTCCAGTCTGTCGATTTTTTATGTGCTTCTGTTAGGCAAATCGACATCATACCTAAAGCACGAACGAATACGAAATAGCGCGTATGTTATGATTAAAAAAAAAACTTTCAACGCCTGGATCCCAGACAAAACGTTTAAACGTAACAATACTGAAACAGAAACTGCAAAGCCTTTAACAACAGAAGTGAGCAATGTCAGCCGACACACACGTTTAGACTGACCGGGGTCTATACCGTTGAATGCCCAACTACCAATTTTCATTGCAATAACCGGTAGGGTCATTTCAACTTCATGAATTCTCGATTTCATCTTCATGAATTCACAATTTTAAGGTGAAATCGTGAAGTTGAAATCGTGAATTCATGAAGTTGAAATCGGTAATTCATGAAGTTGAAATCGTGAATGCCTAAAGCTGAAATCGTGAATTTGAAATCGGTAATTCATGAAGTTGAAACGTCCCTACCGGTCTTTGGTAGAGAAAAGTTAACAGACTGTTTCAGAGTGGTAGAAGGACAAGTCCGTCAGAGAAACTTCAGCACTTAAAAGGTTTAAGTAAATCACAGATCAATGATATATATATTCAAATAATTCGTCGTCAATAAATGAAATAAAGAATATGCATTTAATAGTTTATTGTTTTTCTCATTTACAGTCATACCAAATAACAACTTATCATTATAGAACGAAAATGGAAAATGGTCGCATTGGTGTTCTTTAATGTGCTGCAACAGCGTGTGCATTAAAACTTTAATCAAACGAGATTATATAAAATAACTGGGAGCACAAACCAAGAATATTGGTGCTCTTGGCAAAAACATAAAGATTGTTGAAGATTTGCACATTGCCTAATGAAAGTGGAAAGTTGTTCAAAGGTATTTTCTTTTACATGTAATTAATTTATATAGACAGGGCGCTCCACTTTTCTCAGTGTTGGATACTTAAATAAAAGCAACATAAAAAAGGGACATAACTTGGCAATTTTTTTAAAGGATTATCAACCCTTTAGAAATGGCGTCCTATTATGACAATAAACATGTATACCAACGGTTCATAACACAGCTCTACTTGACAAAGGAAAACTAAACAATTAGTATATAAAAATTTTATTCTTTAACATGTGCAAATTGTAAATATTTGCTATAAACAAATTGCATTTCATTATTTCCTATATAAACAGTACATAGTGCAGCTGAACAATCTAAACTTTACACAATACCTACCCATAATAATTACATGATATTGCAGTAAACTAATATTATGATAACTTGATAAAAACATTTCAACTGAGTATGGTAAAAAAGAAACCATATAATTATATAACAAGCATGGTCAACAGAAAATAACACATCATAATAACATCTTAAAAAACATGAATTTTTACTCATTGTTTGGTAAAAAAACTAAGTTAATGGGACTCCACTCAGGTTTTTATGATATGACAGGACTGGAAATAATATTTCAAGATTAATTTTCTGTTTGATGGAGGTTTAGACCAATAACTTGTATGCAAAATTTCAGATCATTTGCTTACTCCATTTTTCCAGAATAATTCTAATTAACAGGGGTTTCACTCTATTTAGAACAATTCAATTTATCTTCATTCAAAACATTCAGTATTCAAGCAAACATTTCAAGACACAAAAAGATGTTTTGGTTTCTTAGAGGCTTAAAAATAATCATGTGACAGGTTTAACTGGTTCTACAGTAACACAATACGCAACTATCTGCTTAAGATAACAAATTCAATCTTAACATAATATAATTATCAATTAATTGTAGATATTTCCCTGGCAGAATACATTTAATTTGACCTGGGGTTTGCTAAATAATGACTTTAAGATAAATATTTGATGCATACAATTAATGCCAGAAGATGTAATTTAATCCTAATTTATGAGGTCATACTATAATTTTATATACAGTCAAACTTGTGATGAAGACCCCCTATGAATACAAATCACCCTGTTAGTAAAGGCCATTCTTCAACAATCCTTTAATGATTAAAATGGACTGAGTTACCTTTTTACAGAACTGTAGCTGTCTAAACTGTTGAAGTGCAAAACAATAACCCAAGGGAGACAATCCAATTAAACAAATTTCTGATTTCATTTTTATGCACTTTAGGTTGTTTGCCACTTGTCATAAATCTGATTTACTTAAAATCTAACAAAAAAATGTAAATGTTATATTATTCAATTTTTGTTTAAATATGATGCCTGAAATATTACGAATGTTTGATGCCACTTAAACAACTATATTAACCTTTTACTGCCGAGTTCCTTATTAATTGTAGAAATGCTATTAAAAGATCCACATTTATTCCTCAACAATATGTAATAAATAGTTCACATATATTATATATTTATACTTGATCCTACTTTCACAAAAATGCAAAAGTGCTGTGTTCACCCTCGTCTGTTATGTGCACCAATTTCGACAAAAATTCCAAGTCAAAACCCAGGCATAACTCCAAAAATATTACTTTCAGAGTTATGCCCCTTGTCTTACAACTGCACCTTGTCATGATAAGCAAGTTTCATATTGATAACTTTTAAAATGTTTGAATATGGGCTACATTCAAGTTTTTCCCAATCTAACAATTTTAGAAATAAATGCATTATAAATAGCCCTTGGTAAGCTGGTTTGAAGAAGGCTTAAAGAGATACGATGCACTTTTCCATGACAGAATTACTGAAATACTCAGATTGAAACAACACAGAATTGTTTTATTAACAGAAAATAAAATATAAAAGCTGAAGGACATTTTAAAAGGATTTTTTTTTTTAAATTTTTGTCATTTTGCGCCCCAAAAAAATTATTCCCGAAAAAAAAAAATTGAGCAAATGATCTAAAATTTTGCACATAACTTATTACTCCAGACCATCTTTAAATGGTACATCAGTCTGGAAAAAAATCCAGTCACTTCACGTATAAAAAACTTAATGAAGTCCCTTTTAGGAGTCAGTACTCAGTAATTAAGTAATTACTGATTGCAGTTATAAAGTAATTACTGACTGAATTGCAATCAAATGAATGTTTCAGGATAATTTGTTTCGTTATGGTTTTAGAGATGCACCAGCAAACTTTAGGACATAATTATGGCACCGAAACAGGAAAGATGATTTTGGCTAGCCTCTGGTGCTACAAACTTAAACAATACCAGGTGCCCAAACCACCTCACCTGCCAGAGCTAAGAGATGCATAGATTCCAGTAATATGAACCCATTTAATTGCCTCTTATGATCACACAGGGATAAACGGTGGCTGCAATTCTAATGCCACAACCCTTAAAGTTTCAAGATAAGGAATTGTCAAAAACAATGATTCAAACTCTGACAGATTTGTATTCAATAACAAGTGCTGCAGATACCACAGCATGTTCCACTATTCTCAGTGCTTGGTAGTAAAAACAGGAGCCTTGACAATGTAGGATTTTCTTAGAAAACAAGAGGCCATAATTCTGTTAAAATCTAAGTTAGAGTAAAGCCTTGCAGAGTAACCTTCTATTTTAATCTACAATAAGTATTTGAAGTTTCAACTTATTCCCTTCAGATGTTTTTGAGACACCTACTAGCATGCACAAAAATTGAACCAAAGTGTGACGCCGACGCTTGGGAGAGTACAATAGCTCTCCCTATTCTTCAAATTGTCGGGTTTAAAAAAAGCCCACAACAGTATTATGAGACTGGGTCATGCAATTACAGGTTAACAATCAATATGTCATTATTGAAGTTTTAAGTATTTATTTTTCTTTCAAACACTGTCATCTCTCCATTTTTGGAAGTCCATTATTTTCCTCAACTCCAAGAAATTTATTTGTAAGAAAGTCTGTGATTGGTTGAGAATTTAGTGCTGAATAGACGTCTGCAACACCAAGAGCATCTGGGTATCTGTAATACATGAAATATATATATAAAACATTTGTTTTAACTTGCTTTTTTTTCTCAGTTTCGACAGTTTTTTTTATTATTATATTTTATGGATAATTTTTTATTTAAATCTATCAACAGTAATATTATATCGTTTCCATGACCTTAAGAGCTGTTACATAAAATGCCGCTTGTATTTTACATACATGAATATTGTACATTTTCTTTTTTTTCCTTTTTTTGGTTGGGTTTTACATTGAACCGACACAGTATAAATCATGTGTCAACTTTCCAGCTTTACTGGTGGAAGAGTACCAAAAGTGCCCCTTATTTCAGGCACAAAAACGTGCACCTTAGTCAGTAGAACCATCAACATTCTATAAGCTAGCTGAATAGCTTTCTCACATGTAGAATCCAATGACATATGTGTGGCTAGAACCTACAGCAGTGAGGGGCAAGTAGTTTAAAATTAACAACCTTAACAACTCTACCACTAACGCCCCTAATATAGTACATAAACAGAATAAAATTATGGGAGCCTTACGATATTGTAACAATCCAGTGAATAGAAAATAAAAAGAACTTGTCAAAATCACAGGCAGTTGCCATTTGAAGTGACATATACATGTAATAATAATTCTCATGTAAAGTAAATGATATGAAGTAAGTAATAAATCAAACATTTCTTCAAATAATAAATCAAACATTTCTTCAAATAATAAATCAAATATTTCTTCAAATGCAAACATATTACAAACCTTCCCATGTTAACTTTCAACGCAAATGTCTCCCTTAAAACATCTCCCATAAATAACTCCATGGCCTGAAAAATACCAAATTAATACATACAATACCATCTTCACAGCAGTTTCTGATATATTAAAAAGCATGTAGTAAAGTAGTAAAATAACAAAGATTTAGTTTTTTAAAACAATGCTAGCTTGCGAAAATTGAGGCAGGAGGCTTAAATAATAATGCCTAAACAACATTGTCTTCAAACTAGTTCTCTAAAAGTTCTGCATTCTAATTGACCAGTAAGAAAGTTATGACACCAGCAATCGGAAGGCCAGCCATTCTATCAATTGTTGTGAAGATGATTTATAAGCGAATTACTCTAATCTACAGCCTGAGAATCTTACATGCATGAGAAATCCAAACCATGCAATAACATACCATAATGTACTCAACAAATAAATTATAGTTCTTTAAGTACAAAATAACTAGAAATGTGGCCATAAGAAACAGACACTATCCTCATTCCACTGTTTTGTCTGTCTACAGACTGGATAAAATGTGACAGCTTGACAGACAAGGGCAAATCTATATTCCCCTACCACAACCTGAGGGGGGGGGGGACAAAAAAATGCAACACCTTCAAAAATCTATTACATCATTGTAGGTCACTTTCGTTGTGATGGATCGTGAAATTCTTACATAGTCATTTGCAATGTACCTCTGCTCTGGCATGTACATAAGTTATCAGTTCCTTTGCGAAAGTGAAGGCAACTAGTACTGGTAAACTGCTTGACAGCCTACCCAGGTACGATGCAGTGATTTAACTGAGCTCTGGTTAATTCAATGTGGCTTACTACCGTGATCTGGAGTGAAAACTCAATCCATTCATTCAACTTAGTTCTGTTTGACAGGTGGCTTACATAAAACACAAGAGATTATGAGATTGTTATGTCACTCACCTTATATAACATTCCATGTGACACTGTGCTGAAATATGAAGGCTCAACTTCTGTTGGTACAAGTTTTATACCAACCTATTTGATGTAAGAAAAGACAATGGTCAACTCATATGATAATAAAGATAATTTACTCATCAATTCCTGATGTGTTGATAAAAAAAATTGTTTCAATTAATAAAAATGTGAGCCTACTGTAAATAGTCATGCACACCTTAAATTACAAGTGTATGATTTATTCTTATTCTTTGTATTTTAGCAAATGTTTAAAAATACATCTTGTAAGCTTTCAACTTTAACAACCAACAAATCTATATAAAACACTTTTGCTCTCTCTGTTTCGTTGAATTTTAAATCAGACTGACAATTTCAAGGTCAAATGAGGACTTTTCAGCTGGAGTGCTCCACCATGCATTAAGGCCCATTATACCCAGAAATGCTTTCATTTTTATTTCTCAAAGTGTTTGAATTTTTGGCAATTAGAATATTTATAGTGATTCAGTATTTTGTATGGATGTCAAAATACTACTTTGATTACATTTTGCATCTTGTATGACAAATATTTTCACATTCAGAGCTTCTTTCTTCTTGTAAAGTTCTCTTAAAACCATTATTTAAACATTATAAAACTATGCCGTTTCTAAACAAGGAATAAAATATTCGAGTCTGAGGCATAATGTGCCTTTATATTTCAGGCAAGACCAGTCATTTGAGAAAATACCACAGATCTTCTCTGTAAGTTTGCTGGATAGCTGCCTCACACGATAAACAGGTCAAAAATAGATAAACATACATGCTAATATATAATATAAACTGTACTCACCTCTTGAACCACTTTCTCTACAAAAGGTGCCCCCTCAGTTATAGGTAACATCTCTATATCAGTTAATGGTACATGTGTGTCTGCTTTCTGTTTTACATACACCTTCTTTGTATCTAGATTATTGCAGAAAAAACACACAAAAATATCAGAAAATAAGCACTATGTTAAAACTCTTTATCAACTGTTCAGTCTTAATTTGCCTTTATTAAAATAATATTTTATTTTGCCTGATTCTTTTTATGAAATACTTGAAATGTCTTAAAACAGTGTTTATGTACACTATAGTAAACGTGTGTAAACTACATGTGTATAGTAAACTACATGTGTGTAGTAAACATGTGTAAACTACATGTGTGTAGTAAACTACATGTGTGTAGTAAATATGTGTAAACTACATGTGTGTAGTAAACACGTGTGAACTACATGTGTAAAGTAAACTACATGTGTGTAGTAATCATGTGTAAACTACATGTGTATAGTAAACTACATGTGTGTAGTAAACATGTGTAAACTACATGTGTATAGTAAACTACATGTGTGTAGTAAACTACATGTGTAAAGTTAACTACATGCGCATAGTAAACGTGTGTAAACTACATGTGTATATACAGCACATGAGTAAACTACATGTGTTATAGTAAGAGCAGCCATGGTAAAAACTACAAATTAAAAAACCATTTATGTAGACATTGTTAAACAATACAAAAGACCAATTACAATTTTGGATACGCATGACAGATTATTGAAAACTTAGTGAATCCTGCAAACATCCCAAAAAGCCCCTACTGGTTCTAAATGTAACGTTGGCTTTTTTTACTATGATTTTTCAAAATGGCTAATATTGGGTTATCAATTTATAAAAAAGAAGTGTAAATTTCCTATAAGGTAAACCTTTTAAGGAAGATTCAGAATTTTTTTTATTTTTCATTCTGCAAGATAGCATGACAGCTTCCTGACATGAAAGAATCATAAGTCCCTGAAATGACTCAAACCAACAGCAGTGAGGGGTCAGTAAGTTTGAAATCAATAACCTAACCTTTTGGACAGTGAGGCCCCTAAGATTTAGAAATAACATCTTACATGATGATATCTCTATATAAACTGATGTATTTGTTACATAGATCAGCTGGGGCATTTAAAAACAGAAGGATATTTACAAAAGATAATAATTTACTCAGAAATATATTGAAAATCGTATTTTGTACCATATTTCCCAGATATCAGCAATGCAACGCTCTTCAATTTGAGTTAGAATTTTTATTAAGGAAATTTTTATTCAGGAAAAACAGAGTGGGTGAATGATTGGAAATTCTACATGATCAGAAATTCTACACACAATAATTGGTCTAGACTTACATCAAATAGAAAATTAAAGGGGCATAAAAATCATTTTCAGTCAAATCATGTCCAAAAAAACAAGAGGGCCATGATGGCCCTGAGGTCGCTCACCTGTATATAGGCCCCCCCCCAACCCCCCACCCCCCCCAACCCCCTCCCCCCCAAACGTTGCAGGGCCAATTTAACCAAAGGGCTTTTATTTGCACAAACTTGGTAGACACCCATAAGAAGATGTTTCATGCTAAACATCTAAGCTCTAGCTCATTGGGCTATTTAAAAGAAGATTATTTTTAAGTTTTTACTATAACACATATAGTTAAAAACAATGACACCCCTGGGGGGCCGGGCCAGTTATGACCCCAGGGTTTTTATTTGAACAAACTTTGTAGACACTTACTAGAATATGTTTTATGCCTAATATCTAAACTCTAGCTATTTGGGTTTTTTCAAAGAAGATTTTAAGTTTTTGCTATACACATATAAGGAAAATCAATTGACCCCGGGGCGGGGCCAATTTTGACCCAAGGTCTTTTATTTGAACAAACTTTGTAGACACTCACTAAAAGATGTTTCATGCTTAATATCTTAACTCTAGCTATTTGGGTTTTTTCAAAAAAGATTTTTTTAAGTTTTTGCTATACACATATAAGGAAAATCAATGACCCCCGGGGCGGGGCCAATTTTGACCCCAGGGCTTTTATTTGAACAAACTTGGTAGAAAACCTATTAGAACATGTTTTCATGCTAAATATCTTAACCATAGCTCTTTGAGTTCTTTAAAAGAAGATTTTTAAAGTTTTTAACTTATATGCATATATAGGGAAAATCAATGACCCCCCGGGGCGGGGTCAATTTTGACCCCAGGGCTTTTATTTGAACAAACTTGGTAGACACTTATTAGAAGATGTTTCATGCTAAATATCTTAGCTCTAACTCTTTTTGGTTCTTTAAAAGAAGATTTTTTAAGTTTTTTACTATATGCATATAGGGAAAAATCAATGACCCCCTGGGGCGGGGCCAATTTTGACCCCAGGGCTTTTCTTTGAACAAACTTGGTAGACACCTATTAGAACATGTTTGATGCTCAATATCTTAGCCATAGCTCTTTGAGTTCTTCAAAAGAAGATATTTTAAGTTTTTACTATATGCATATAGGGAAAATCAATGACCCCCCAGGGCCGGGCCAATTTTGACCCCAGGGCTTTTATTTGAACAAACTTTGTAGACACTCACTAGAAGATGTTTCATGCCAAATATCTAAGCTCTAGCTCTTATGGTTTTTTAAAAGAAGATATTTAAAGTTTTTTCTTTCGGTTGCCATGGCAACCAGAGTTCTGCATGGAATTAAATTCTTTGAACAATTTTTAAAGGTGACCACCAAAGGAACATTCCTGTGAAGTTTGGATGAAATTGGCCTTGTGGTTTATGAGGAGATGTCATTTAAAGTAAAAGTTTACGGACGACGGACGAACGACGGACGCCGGACGAAAAGCGATCACAAAAGCTCACCCTGTCACTTTGTGACAGGTGAGCTAAAAAACCTCAGTGGAGTCCCTTTAATAATATCAACACAAAAAAGAATATTCAAACATTTACTTGTTGATAAGATATCAATTTCCTCATCACTTTGATATTCAACTGCAGGTACAAGATTTTGCAATGATGTCACTTCCTGTATAACATCGTTACTATTGGTTACAGATGTAAACTTCCTGTGTTGCTGATCGGAAGGTAAAGAAGTCTCTGCTTGTAAATCTATGGCTGTCGGGTGAAGTGGACGCTCTGAAACAGGCAAATTATCACGTCTTTTCCATAAAATATTTGTAAATTTTTCATGTATCTCCTAATATTCATGTTTCTTAAATTAACTTATACAACTATACAAAGACACAGATATTTTTTACTTCATATGGAAACTTTCCAGTTCCACCATCAGAGAAAGAACTCTGATGCATTATTTCAAACACAAGTGGGTAGCTTTCAATCTTTTGTTAGATGACTTGCATGCTCACATAACAGAAACAAGAATTTTCACTTTATCAAACTCAAAGCATACAGAGGTAAGTGACTAAGTCAGCAACAAAGACCCTTATTGCCCATGTACATGTTCATCTTTCAATCTGGACAAAAACCATTCATCATTTTTAAGTAAAATTTCAAAATAACAATGACTGAATAGCAATTAAACAGTGTAGACTATGATCAGAAGGTATAGATATGCAGATTTTTGTCTGCAAAGTTCCCATGAGTAGAGGCAGTAGTAAACCAATTGACTATGACTTCTGAAATACTTAAAAATAGTGGTCTAAATTAATCAGCCCTATATTGCACAGACTATTAACATTTTTTCAGAGCATTTTTTTAATCTTAAGACAAGATACTAAGAAAATCAATAAAAGTGGAACAAACAATCAACACAGGATAAGTGTTAAGGTTTTATTTAATGATGATAACCGAGGTTACGACTCTCATGAGACTTCATCAGGGTTATAAAAAATAAGACAAGATATATGGCATAATTTGGTATTATTCATTGAAAATGAAGGTGAAAGAAAATTACTTTTCAGCAAATATGTATGAAAAGAAAACTCTTTATTTTTATGATAATAATTACATGTACTTCTTGTAAGCATACAGACAGACAGTAATAAAAGGGCATTTACCAAGATAATGTGGACTATAGGCATGTAGTCTACACCATGTTAAGATCTGTTTTACTGTCCATAATGAATCCCCATTGTATGTCAGTCCATCTTGTAAATATGTTTGTACAAAATGTCTCACAGTTGACGCTCTCTGCCACTGTAGGAAAGAAAGATTAAAATTTATTTATTAAAAGACAGCAGTAACTGCATGCAGTTCAATATGCCACTTCTGAGTTACCAGAATATCTAGCTTGAGGGTTATGGCAGTAACAAGGCATTGCTTCATACCGCTAAGCAGTTGCAAAAAGGTTAAATATTCTTGTCTGTATTGACAACTTGTGTTTGATTCTTTTTCTTGCATATTTCATATATTGATTAATTACATATCAATCATAATTCAGAATAAAACTATGAAAACTACTATTATCACAAAGCTCTCTTTTCTTATAGAAGCGTATGAATTTACAACTTTCATAATGGCAAAATGATGTCATTCTAAGCAGCAAATCACTCATAAAAGGCCAACAGGAATGACAAACATGTGACTTGTCTAACACTGGCATGTAATATTCAAAGATTGCAATTCTTTCATAAAAGCCGCGCCGGAATGACATTATTTAAAGCATGCTACTAGTTTTACACATAGGATATAAGACAGGCTTTTCTAGCACTGGTATAAACAGTAGAAAATCCTGTCTAATATGCAAGAAATATAGCAGATTGAGTTAAATAAATGACAATATAAATGTAATTTACCTCAGATGCTCGTCGTTTCCCAACATTCCAAGCTAACCACTCTTCCTTCGACCTTGCACAGTACGGATGTAGGTGTCGACCTATCAATAAACACAAAATTTGAACTTCATTATATGCCTAAGCAATAAAATGAACTGTTCAAACATACAAAACTATTCCAACTCAAAGAACTTGTTATACACTAAGACTCAACAGTTTTCACTTGCATCCTCTATATATAAATTCCATCATAATTCATTATTTTTTTCAAAGACCTTATATACACCAGGTTTTTTTCTAGCCCATTTTGATGATCGATATTGGGTCATGTATGTTCCCATTGCCAAAAAGTTTTGTGTTTTTCTTCCCAATTTCAAGGAGAAAAGTCCCAATTCAAGGAACAAAAAAGGTAAAATTATTGTCATTTTGTTACATTTAACTGCACTGTACCATAGGAAATTGTTATGTTGCTTTCCAAATTGTAATATGCTTATGAGTTGCATATAAAAGGAGTTTAATTATTTCTATGTCTTATTTGATATATACATTATGTTTACCCAATTTGTCTTAAACATTATAAAAATTCCCAATTCTGGGGGGTCAGATCATATTATTCTCAAGGTGCTGAAAAAAAACCGATATACATGTCATAATACAAATTACTCTGCTACTGTATCCTGTAAGTACAAGCTACTCACCTACTGCAGACGACACTACAGGATGTCTTCTCACAGCAGCTTGTATCACAGACAATAAATCTGGATAGTCCTCTATCCTATAAATACATGTATGGTTATATACATGTACAAATAATTCAGTATTGTTAAAATCATCAAGCAAACAAATATCATATCTCTTTTTGTTTTTGAACTCCCAACTTAAATGCTTCATTTTTTTCCCTGTAAACTTACGCTGAATTAGTAATTTGTTTCAAAAGATTGACTATAAAGTATAATAGTGATTGACAAAAAATGATCTTGAAATTTTTTTGGATAAAAATATATAACATTAAACTATCTTAATTATAAAAAGAAGACCCAACTCTTATAAAAAATTGAATGTTTCTGACAGTCTTCATTACAAATAATATCTGTAGATTTTTTTTTCTTTGCATCAAAAGATAAAAATTGAACCTAATTATGACAAAATGTAAAGTTATTTTGATTTTGATGTGTGCACTCACCATTTACACTTAAATGGACATAATGTCACTTAAATTTCATACAGAAATTAACCAAGTCACATATTTCAAAATTGAGAAGAAAAAAAAAATTAACACAGTCATATTTTCTTTTACTTCTAATTGGACCATTAAGACAGTATAAAAACATTATGAAAAAGATATTACTGATGAAATCTTACCTCAAAGGTGTTATAGAATCTTTCTCCTTGACTTCAACCACCGGTTTATTTTGCCGTTTCTTTTTCGGGTCTAACATAATCCTCTTATCCCCCGGCCAGCTCAATTTTTTCGGGCAACTTTTGCCCGCGTCTTCTCCGTTTACGACAATTATTTTCCTCTCCGTACTATCACTAGTCTTTATCGTAACCGGAGTCTCGTGTTTATTTGCACTTAATTGATTTAACTGTGATGCTAAATTAGAACTAAGCAAACTTGACATCACTTTTCCGCCCTGAGTATTTTCACAATTTGCAGTATTTAGAGTTTTGTCGTTCTGAACAACAATCAAAGTCTTGTCTTGAGATTCAAAAGATTGTTGCCCATGACGATGCTGGCCATTTGTTACTACAGTGTCAAGTTTTGAGATACTATTTGCACTTGTTGAGTCTTTCGTTTCCATGGTAACGGCAGATTTCGAGGAAACTGGCACAATGAGTATATGATTAGATAAACCAGGCTGCTTTATGTGAGATGATTCTGCATCTCGATCAACAGTTTTGCCTTTATTAACAATTAACTTTCCTTGTTCCGATTGGGTAAGAATTCCTGCAGGATTTATCACAACTTTTCCAATGTTACTATTTTTAGAAACAGCCTCGGACTGGCTCATCACAATCACATTTCCATTAGACTGTGGCACTTGTAAATTACTCAGTAAAGATTTGCCTTTACTCTGCAGCATGTCTACTTTATTATTTGCACCAGGTACCAGTATCAGAGGATGTGGCTTTGATTTCACTGGCTGTGCTAAGCCAGGCACCAATCCACCATTTACTGGAACTCTTTGTTCAACAAGATTCAAATGTGTCTTATCAATTCTTAAAGGTTGCTGAGGTTTCAGCTGACCTTGAACTTGAATCAATCCCTGAGAAGTGACCTTCAATTGACCTCTTACCATAGACTGGTTCCCAGAATTCACTACCGTCTGCTTCCCAGACTTCAGATTCAAAATATTCACATTCTGATTTTGAGGAACACTTTGCACTAACTGAACACTGTTTTGAGATTTAAGTTTTAAAGTACTAGAAACAGGGGTGAGACAGTTTGATTTTACCAAAGTTGCATTTGTCAGCCTTTTACTTAAATTGTTGTCAGGTTTAATAAATAATACTGGCCCATTTTCCGATGATTTGGCAGACTGTGTGATGTTCTGCCTTGAATTTTGCCCCAGTGTTGATGGACTCACTCTCAAATGGCTAGCAGACGGAACCCCTGATAGCCTAACATCTGGTTTACTATTTACAACATTTGAGGCCAGTAAAACAGGCTGAGTAATGGGAGATGCTACTCTTATCTGACCAGGGTTACTTCCCCTGGGCAATGCTGCAATAGTTGAACCAATTTGTTGAGGTATGAGGTAAGTTTTCCCTTGATTGTCTGTACATTTCAAAAATATAAGATTTGAATTTGCAGATTGGTTCACAGTTTTGTTCACCTTTAAATTTGATACAGGACTTGTTTGTATTAATCCAGTCTGTGCTCTTGGCTGATTCCCAGGCACATTTGTGAGTATAACAGGTTGAGAGGGAACCATGAAGTTATTTTTAGAATTTTGACTTTTAGTTGGACTTAACTGAATTAATGTGTTTGGCATGGTGCCCACCACAGTTTTTATTCCACCAACATTCGAGGCACTTAGTGACCCTAACCCTTTCAATATAACATTTCTAGAAGGGGATGCACCTTTAACACCAGGACTGACTGCCTGAAGCTGTACTATATTGTTCTTTGGTGGGGTGACTGGGTACATTCTTGGTAAATTTGAACTCTGAGGCAGAGGTGAACCCACAGGGACCAAGGTGAGTGGCTGCGTAGTTATAATGCTCTGGCTGACCACTGCCTCTGCTCGGTTCCCAGAAAACAGTAAATGTTCTGCCAACAATGAAGTTTCTCTTGAATTATTACTTTTATTTCCAGATGCACTAGATTCATGATTCATTCCCACTTGCCTGTTGGCCAAACTTTCAGAACTTGTTTCACTACCACCTAAACAAGCAGACCTTCCATAATCATGATCATCTGCTGGTTCCACTTTAATCTCCATGGCAACAGTACTGTCCTGTGCTGGTGCCCCTGATGTAATGTCTTCAGCACCTATTTCCTTCTTTATCTTCACTGAACTACTGGATTTTTCTCGTTTCACTTTAGGAATGTCTTTTTCAATTTCAATGTCTACAACCTAAAGGGTAAAAAAACATATTGACAATTTAATCTTTGGTTTAGTTATGCTTACTTTTACAGACATTTTTTTTACTTAAAACCACATTTCAAACATTAAATGCCAAACCTGAAGGTCAAACTTTTATTAACAAACTGATGATATTTGCCGCTTTTGGGGAAAAAAAATATACACAAAACTGGATAGAAATACTGAAAATGACAATGGACTATTCTAAATTCAAATATGGACAAATCCATTTCATAAAATCAATAAAGAATTTAGTTTAGTATATCATATACATCTACTTACAGTTTCAGAGCCTAAAGTCTGAAGACCTGTGTATGTTCTATCCAACTGGAAAACAAACAATTTTTAAAGGTCAACATTCAAACAAACTAAGTACAAAACTACAACAAAACATAAAATTTTATAAACATATTAAGCAACATAGTAGTCTTATTAAAGTAAATAATCAAGAAACGCGTATATATAAAAGTCATTAGTATAACTTTTCCTTTATTTTAATTAAAGTTTACGTTACACCAACACTATTAAGGTAGAGGACGACCTTTTGTGCATTTTAGTACATTATTTCAGGTATGTGCAGAATCAAAGCAAAACTGACACAAACAGTCAAGTTTGATCATTTTATTCTATTGTTACAAAGAGTTAATCATTTTATACTGATATTAAACATACAATCTAAGATCAAACTTGTAACAGAAGAGAAATACCTTTAGGTTATGTACAATATCCATTTTTTTGTTTCTATGATCTTTAAAATGTAACTGCACCCTGACAGGAAATTCTCCCCAGCCACGCCTTGTCAGGTGGAAAGGAGGCTGACTGTAAATTTCAAACAAACAATCCTTATTTATAGAAACATAAAAATAGATAATGTGAATTTATTCTCATATCATAAAAGATTTAATATCTATTCAGCTTCATAAAAACCACTCATTATATACAATAACAAACCAACTTTCAGTATATCTTTATACTGAGCCAACAGATTTTACCCATGCAACCATTACAGACCAAGATCTGCCCGCAAATCTGTGCCATCTGACCATGGTCTACACTGTTTGCTTATTCATTTACTACATATTTTGAAATTTTCCCTAAAAATGATAAATGGTTTTGTCCAAATTGAGAGATGGACCAGGCAATTTAAGATATTTAGCATGGTGAAGGCTAATAACAACAGCATGGTTAAGATCATAAAGCAACAACCTATATAGTTCCGGGACAACATCAGGAGGTTTTCAATGATTTAAGAACCATTTTTTTCAATTTCCCAACAATTCAGTGTCAATTTTCAATAAAAAAAGTTTAATAAGTTTATCAGTTAACAAAAGAGAAATGCCACTAAGGTAGTCATAATTTTAATTCAGTGCTTCATCTCTACAAACCATATCAAACATCAATTTTAGTAAACTACGCCTTCTTCATATCTGTCATATATTTCCTTTAAAGTTTCGTAACTTTATTTTGACAATATTTTTGTCACAGTTGACCAAACTTTAAATATTTCAAACAAACAAATAAATTCCAAAATGATGAAATACATTAAGACAGTCCAATCAAATTGCACTTTTATTTATTTTCTTTAAAGAGCTTTCTTTAAAAGCACATAAGTTTTACTCTTAGCCAAATTTATCCAAAGCATAATTTACACTAACATTGACACAAATTGTTAAATTGATTTTTGTCATATATAAAATCTGTGACAATGTTATATTCTATATATTTACCTGACTTCTACTAAATCGTTGGGTCTGTAACTCGGATGCAAGAAGAACCAAACTTTTTTTACAAAGTCGTCAATACCAGGACTGTTTTTAGGTCCTCGTACATAAACCATCCATTTGTGTGTGGCCTGATCATTCTCGTCCCGCTGATCTGCTGGGATACTCCTGATTACACAATGAAAGACAGCAATCAGTACAGGTGACTTAAAGCAATTAGTAAAGGTGACTTAAGGCAATCAGTACAGGCAACTTGAAGCAATCAGTAAAGGCGACTTAAAGCAATCAGTACTGGTGACTTAAAGCAATCAGTACTGGTGACTTAAAGCAATCAGTACTGGTGACTTAAAGCAACAGAACAGGGGACTTAAAGCAATCAATACTGGTGACTTAAAGCAATCAGTACAGGCAACTTAAAGCAATCAGTACAGGCGACTTAAAGCAATCAGTACAGGCGACTTAAAGCAATCAGTACAGGTGACTTAAAGCAATCAGTACAGGTGACTTAAAGCAATCAGTACAGGCGACTTAAAGCAATCAGTAAGGGCAGCTTAAAGCAATCAGTACAGGCGACTTAAAGCAATCAGTACAAGTGACTTAAAGCAATCAGTTAAGGTGACTTAAAGCAATCAGTACAGGTGACTTAAAGCAATCAATACTGGTGACTTAAAGCAATTAGTAAAGGTGACTTAAAGCAATCAGTACAGGCAACTTAAAGCAATCAGTAAAGGCCACTTAAAGCAATCAGTACTGGTGACTTAAAGCAATCAGTACTGGTGACTTAAAGCAACAGAACAGGGGACTTAAAGCAATCAATACTGGTGACTTAAAGCAATCAGTACAGGCAACTTAAAGCAACAGTACAGGCGACTTAAAGCAATCAATACTTGAGACTTAAAGCAATCAGTAAAGGTGACTTAAAGCAATCAGTACAGGTGACTTAAAGCAATCAGTAAAGGCAAACTAAAGCAAAATCAGTACTGGTGACTTAAAGCAATTAGTACAGGCAACTTAAAGCAATCAGTACAGGCGACTTAAAGCAATTAGTACAGGTGACTTAAAGCAATCAGTAAAGGCAGCTTAAAGCAATCAGTACAGGTGACTTAAAGCAATTAGTAAGGGCAACTTGTGTAGCTTAATTTCCCATCACAGTAAAGCTTGTTTAGTCGCTTGGTTTTAAAAATTAACAATGTATAAAATGTTAATGCCATATTGCCACTGTGCATGGTACCAGTAGAAGATTACAACCTGTGCATTATTTCAGAATTAAAAGGACACTTTAACAGAACCATTGATATACACAATATAATTTGCAATTTTGTTTCTATTTAATGGCACATTATGTCTCAGAAATACATGTTTTGTAATTCCTTAGAAATGTCAAACATGTGTTTAATAATGTTTAAATAATGAATTTAAAGCATGTGACATGTTTAAATAATGAGAAAGTAATGCTGAACGAGCAGTAATATGTTGTAAAGGTAGCTAAATGTAAACAAATAAGTATTTTGAGTTCTATACAAAATACTAATTCACTTAAATTATACCAATTGCTGATTGTATTAAGCAGCAAAAGGTTGTTCATGTATATGGGAAATGAGTAATTTTTTTGAAACTGTGTTTTTGAGAAAACAAAATTGATAGCTTTCTGAGGCATAATGGGCCTTTATATTAGAAACCTAAGAGTATTCAATCCATCAAATGTATCAGCACAAATCATCATTATATAATTAGTGTAAGTAAAATTAAGATATATCCAGGTGTAACCTAAATTCGGCGATATAAGAACAAATGTCAATGGCATTTTCAATTATCTACAGTAATCTATAATTATACTTGATATAATTTTACTACAACTATTTAAAAGTTACTTTAAGTTGATTTCTAACAATGTAATTGTTCAGTGGTTGCCAAATATAAACAAATATGACTGATGTAAAATCTTACTACGATCTGAAAACGTCACCTAAATTCGGCGATTCTGATTGGTTGCAGTAAATTTTTAATTTTGGCGGGATTGTGACGTAGTATGTTGACCTAGATTGGCAGTAAAAATAGTAGGATAACAAACGGTGACTGTCAAATTATTTTAAGCAACAAATAGAGGAAAGTATAGATAAACTTGAAATTACATCAGGTAAAACACACAATTTTCTCTATGTCATTTACATTTTTTAATGTTTATCAGCCGTACCTCCATCTGTAGCGCAGAAAATCACTTGAGTTGTAAATAAAACCATGAGACATAAACATGATTGACATTCACCTCTGAAATCTCTTGTGAATGACAAAAAACAAAACAACACTGAATTAAGGAGAACGTCGAATTTGGGTCACGGTAGGATATTCTATTTAACTTTAGAAGAATGATTTTGTGATAGAAATTGCAGCAGTACAAACCTTTTTACTATTATCAGTCTTAGTCAAATAGTAGACAAAATTAATCATATAAATGTGTTCAACTGCTCAAGAAGTTATTTATTTCAGATCTTAATCACTTTGTTTTAAAACACTTTAACCCCACCCCCAAGATCAAAACCATTAACCCCTTTCAACCCTTTAATAAAATTACATTAACACTAGAGAGTGAAATTCATACTTAGACACATTTCCAACAATTATCCTTTTCTTCACTTTAAATCTGCCAGTTCTTGAATCATTTTGCTCGCTACTATTTTTCGAGGTCTCTGCTTCCGGCTTTCTGTGTCCCTAAAATGGAATATTTACACTTCTTACATCATCATAATTATTCTCCTATCTCTCTAATTAAGTAATATTTACAAAAATAGAATGCAATTTTTGGCCGGGTTGCAAATGGTGCAAACCCTGGTTATAAAATGGTGAATGTCGGGCGGCAGGTGGGCGGACAGGGAAAATATCTTCATAACAGTTTTCTCAGCAACTACTTATCACAGCCTCTTGATATTTGTTATACAGCACCAACACGTGGTCCTATACCGTGGGTCTGTCGCTCTTCCACTCCCTGTTTACCGATTAAGTTAAATTTTCAACATCAATGGTCAATGGTAAATATTTTTTGTAACATCACAACCTCATGATATTTGGTATACAAATGCAACCCGGCCTTTTCTGTCTTTGACCCATTTTTTAAATTTGTAATACAGTACTCAATAAATTTGAGTGCGAATATAAAAAGTGTTCGAGCATCGCATAAAATTCCTTAATGCAGTATAATTATATCCAACAAGGTGCATGAATGATTTGCAAAAAAAGCATTGCTATCATGATTTCTGTAAGTGTGTAGAGGTACTGCTCCAACACTGTAGTGAGTTTACTCCATTATATTTTACAAAATCATATAACAATGCTGAGCTGACGTATGGGTTGATATTCTACAGCACGCAGCCTATAAAACTTTACACAAACTGTTGTAAATACATGAAGTCTGAGGATAGAGGACTATATTTTTGCATTAAAGGCAACTATTTCACAAGCAGTGACCCTGGATTCCTCAAGGATTCAAATTCAAGTTAAAGCATATATACATGTTTTCATAACAAAATGCTTGTCTGCTTTAAAAAGAGAAAACAAATAGAAGCCTACTTTTGGTGTTATTATTCCAATTCTCTCAGACACAAATTCTGTCTGCTGTGCATTCCCTTCGGGAGCCTCTTGTTTTACTTCACTTTGATTGGGCAATGCAGGGGTGCCAGGTGGCGCTTTACCAATAAATTTTCTAACTGTTGGATGAATCATTGGTGCTTGATCAGCTGACTTCTGAAAATAAGTCAATGTTTATTTTGTTGTTTTTAAAAAAAAAAGCAAAACTAGAAATATGTCATCATGCCACGGATGCCCCCGCATGCAGCCAAATTTCAAATGTTATAATATTTAGTTCCAAATTTGTTTGCACAAATTATTTTTTTCATTCTTAGTTCAAAGCCCTTAAAACTTTTCAATGTTAACACAAACCATTTTTATACAATGTTCAAGGCACTGAAATTATTCAGTCTTAACCTTTTAAAAACAGCATATTGCATATTTGTAGCCAACATAATGGCTATATACATTTCCACAAAAGTATGAGTGCTGAAACTGAAAGTTCAACATTCAGGAAAGATAAGTTTGTCTAAAATAATTGAACCACGACCAAATTCAAACTTAAACTGCTTATTCCTAAGATGTATCTATATTATTTTCAAAGTGAAAGGGACATAACTCTGCCAAAAAATCATCGAACCATGACCAAATTCCAACTTGACCTGCGCATTCCTTTGACATATCCATATGTCAATTTTGAGTTGAATATGTAACACTGTTGGGTTGATAATGAACAGAAACTGTAAATTTCATATCATTTTCAAAGTGAAAGGGGCATTACTCTGCCAAAAATCATTGAACCATGACCAGATTCGAACTTGGTCTGCGCATTCCAAAAACATATCCATATGTCAAATTTGAGTTGAATGTGTAATATTGTTGGGGAGATAATAAAACGGAAACTGAAAATTTCATATTATTTTTAAAGTGAAAGGGGCATAACTCTGCCAAAAATCATCGAACCATGACCAAATTTGAAATTGACCTGCGCATTCCTTTGACGTATCAATATGTCAAATTTGAGTTGAATGTTTAATACTGTTGGGGAGATAATAAACAGAAACTGAAAATTTCATATTATTTTCAAAGTAAAAGGGGCATAACTCTGCCAAAAATCATCGAACCATGACCAAATTTGAACTTGACCTGCGCATTCATTTGACGTATCGATATGTCAAGTTTGAGCTAAATGTGTTGTACGATTGGGGAGATAATGAATGGAAACTGAAAATTTCATATCATTTTCAAAGTGAAAGGGGCATAACTCTGCAAAAAAACATTGAACCATGACCAAATTTAAACTTGACCTGCGCATTCCTTTGACATATCCATATGTCAAGTTTGAGTTGAATGTGTTGTACCATTGGGGAGTTAATGAACAGAAACTGAAAATTTCATATTATTTTCAAAGTAAAAGGGGCATAACTCTGCCAAAAATCATCGAACCATGACCAAATTTGAACTTGACCTGTATTTTCTCATGACATATCAATATGTCAAGTTTGAGTTGAATGTGTTGTACTGTTGGGGAGATAATGAACGGAATCTGAAAATTTCATATTATTTTCAAAGTAAAAGGGGCATAACTCTGCCAAAAATCATCGAACCACGACCAATTTCGAACTTGACCTGTATTTTCTCATGACATATCAATATGTCAATTTTGAATTGAATGTTTTGAACCGTTTGGGAGATAATGAACGGAAACTGAAAATTTCATATTATTATCAATGTAAAAGGGGCATAACTCTGCCAAAAATCATCGAACCATGACCAATTTCAAACTTGACCTGTATTTTTTCATGACATATCCATATGTCAATTTTGAATTGAATGTTTTGAACCGTTTGGGAGATAATGAACGGAAACTGAAAATTTCATATTATTTTCAATGTAAAAGGGGCATAACTCTGCCAAAAATCATCGAACCATGACCAATTTCGAACTTGACCTGTATTTTCTCATGACATATCCATATGTCAAATTTGAGTTCAATATGTGCAAGGGTTATTAAGATAATGAACGGAAAGTGATGATGACGGAAGGACGGAATGACGGAATGAAGGAATGACGGAACAGGGTAACACTATATGCCCCTGCCATTATATGGCGGGGGCATAACAAACAAAAAATGTGTAAATTTATATTTGAATACAGATACACTGTATTTGTTGTTATTATACATTTTATGATTTACAACTGAAAGCAAATTTCCTAAAATTTTAATTTAGTTTATTGCTTTGTAATATTAAGTTATCAACAAGAGCTGTCCGTAAGACAGCGCGCTCGACTTTTTTATTGCTTGCCAATAAAAAAAGTTTTTGCAGTAAAAGGCAATACAAGAATCTCTGTATTTTTAAAGTGAACAATGGCCATGAGCATTAAGATATTTAGTGAAGAATTATTTTACTGAATTGTGTGATACCCTTGAACACTGCAGGTTCAGTGGATAGGAATGAATTTTTTTAGATTTTTTAAGTTTTTTAGTGCTTGCCTATAATACAAAACATTGACAGTTAAGGGCCATAATTCAAATAAAATCTTTGACAGAATTACCTTCTCCTGGACATGTTTGGGAATCATGATTGTAAACAAGTATTCCAACTTTCAAATTAATATCTCAAACAGTTCAGTCAAAAAGTGGACTGGTACTAAAAAACTTAACCAAGATTCTAAGTCGATAAAAGGCCTTAATTTTTAAAACAAATCCTTGACAGAGTTACTTCTCTTGCGTACAGATGGGGTAATGATGTGAAATAGCATTAAAAGTTTCAAAGCAATATCTCAAAGGGTTAAGGCAATAAGTGGATTTTACCCATATTCAATGTATTTTCTAAGTCAAAAAGGGGCATAATTCTGTCAAAAACCTTGACAGAGTTATGTCCTCTTGTCTGTTGATGAAGGTCGTGATGGTAAACAAGTATGGTCAGTTTCAAAGCAATACCTCCAATGGTTTTGAAATAAAGTGAGGTGGTACAAAAAACTTAACCAAGCTCAATACACTTTCTAAGTCAAAAAAGGGCCATAATTCTGTCAAAAACCTTGACAGAGTTATGTACTCTTGTCTGTAGATGGAGGTTATGATGGTGAACAAGTATGGTAAGTTTCAAAGCCATACTTGTAATACTTCTGAAATAAAGTGGGGTGGTACGAAAAACTTAACCAAGGTGTGACGCCGACGTCGACGCCGGGCGAGTAGGATAGCTCCCCTTTTCATAGAAAAGTCGAGCTAAAAATTATCATACATTCATAATGAACACAGTTTGGCTTCTAAATTTCTTTAATATTTTAGTTGTTTTTTGGCTTAAACTACAATGTACTTCAAATATACATATGTGTATATATACATACAAAGTAAATACAATCAAATACATAAAGGATTGAGTAGAAAATTTGAAGCTATGTGAAACTTTCCCCTTGAAAAGAATCATTTAACACTGATAAGAACATTCATATCAAAATAAAAAATATTGTTTACTTGCAATTTATTTAAAGTTAAAACCAAAGGTCATGCCAGTGCCATAACTTTCCAGCTGTACTGGAGGAGGAAGACAACGGTTCCCCAATGTGAATTATTTCAGGTACAAATGGGTAGAACAAAACACCTTCCACAACCTATCTATCTGGATACAGGTAAACCTGTGAAAAAAGGCCATCTGAAGGAAGAGACCAGGCATGGCCTTTATGGACAGGGGTCTTTATTTGGAGGTATATGTTAAATTTAATCAAAGGTTGTTGAAGTCACACCTTTATTTTAAGGGTGATCTTTATTTGAAGATGGCCCTAAACACAGGTTTGACTGTCTTCAGAAAAGTTATTAAAGAATGATATTGGTAAAAAAATAAGATATCATGAAGGGTAATAATTCAAACAACCAATCCTTGAGTTTTCAGTCTCAAACAATCCTACAATTAAGACTACAGGCATTTGTGACTTTTCAGATACGCATTACAGAAATTAAAAGTTTTCTCAAAAGAACTCAAACCTAGACCTCTAACAATTGGACCACTGACAAGCCTGTAACTTTAACTCCTTTCCAATCAAAGAAAGAAAGACTGACTTGTATAAAGGTGATGATGTCCATACCCTCCGCGTATCTAAGTTTCAACCCATACTACACTAAATATCTTAAATGGGCTTGTTTATTTTACAATCTGAATAAAGCCATTTATCACGTTTAGGAAAATTTTTAAAAATAAAGACCATCTTGGTTTGCACTGCTTGCAGGAGCAGATACAGTATCCGCCAGGAAGCTAACAGGTTAATGCTTATGTCATCAGGATAAAGATGCTAATATGGTAATCTTTCCACCAACATGGTTAACTTCAGGAGTTCACTGATGATAAAAGCATTGCTGGCTGTGTGGGGTCAAACCCTGTGAAAGGCAACTCGTTGTTTCCATGAGCAGACGCATTGCTTACTATTGGTATGGTTCCAGGGACAGATGTTAGAGTGTTTCAATAAGCTAACTGCTTTCAACATATTTGAACTAAACTAAACTCATATAAAATATAATGAACTAATAAAGTATTACATACCTTCGAGGATTTAGTATTACATACCTTCGAGGATTTCTGCTGATTTGCGTTTCCATAGAAATTGGCAATAATACATGCTCTTAATCTATCCATCATGCTTCTAGCCAATTCCAACTTCTACAAAACAAACAAGTGGGGAAATGACAATTATTCAATCTGCTGAGATTTTACTCCCAATATTGTTGATTGATATTAGTATGAACTGAACAGGCAAATTTCTTGTAATGACTTGTTTGCTTAGCAATACTATAACAGTAATATCTGGATTCAGAGCTGGTATTCTTCTGAAAAAGTTTTTCGACTTACTAGAATCACACAGGACATTGAAGTACTGAGTGTGTGAAACCTGACATATGGATTGTAGGTTCAAGCTTTACTTACTACTTAGGTCACAATTTTGTTTCCTCAAATGACACTAGTGCTGGTTAGTGTCAGGACACAGCCTTGAGAGTGGTTTAAATTAGCCTTTCTTGTATCATAGTTTGGAGACATTTCTATTGAAAATGTGTCATAGTTAGATCATATACCCATACATAACAGGAGTGCAGATGTTAGTTACACACACTCCAGTTACAGCACTGTTTGTTGGATATAAGAAGAGTATGCTTCTTGATTGGCTCATTTTTGGGGGGTTTACTTATTATGTACACCTCCTCGCATAAATCAGATAGCCTCGGGTTTCAATGCTCTTTCTATTACTTAACATACGGTTATAATTAAAACATATTATGTTTAAACAAAAACATAATTCAGCCAATCAACAAAACGTTAGTCATCAACTTCAAGACAAGGAAACACAAACCTCACTAATGTTAAGAAGTTCCGCTTCTTTATTACTGACTTCCATGTCAAACTGGTTCTTGATAATAGAAACAATCTTCTTCTTTGTAGCTTCTTTGGCTGAAATTGAAAAAAAAACAGATGTCAGTAGGACTTGACTATTCTCAGTGCTTGATAGCAAAACAACAGCTTGGACAATGTAGTTTTTTCTCAGTTCCAAATAGCTATAATTCTGTTAAAATCCAAGTCAGAATTTTAGGCCTTTATATATGAGATACCTTGTTTTATGTTACAACCCATACCTTTCAGTAGTTTTGGAGACACTAACTTGTACATAGAAACTTAACCAAAGTATGACGCTGTCACCAAGGCCTGGATGAGCTAGAGTACAATAGTTCTCCCTATTCTTCAAATAGTAAAGTTAAAATTTCTCTAAAATTTGCAAAACCGTGTTACTAGCTTTAAATTTTTCAAGTGACTATTGATAAGAAATTGTGGCAAGTGTCTCAAGAAATAATATGATCAGCAATATACACACATGTAGCTGATAGTGAATAACATTTTTCAATATCCACTAATGTATAGTAACAAGAAGATAGGAGAGTCAGGATAAAGCATTCAACTTTTTCAGTAAAGGTTGTAAAACATCTTTAAATTGTTAAGTTTTTGGAACACCCTTATATTGCAAAGTCACATGTGGGAATACTTCTAAATGGTTTAGTTGGAGAAAACATACCTCCTTCTTCGATGACACGCCTCCTCTTGTTCTGTACTTCAGAGACATCTTCATAATCAGGGTCAATCTCTATATGTGAACGTTTTGCTGTCATTCTAAATATACCTACAAAATATAATCATACATTTGAAGTATGGTAAAAGTTCAACAGTTCACATGAACCATATGAATAAATTAACTGATGAAAAGATAGGTGCCAGCATTTTTTTTTCAATACTTTGGGAATGGTGCCGGTACCAGACTGATTTGGAAAATGCATTATTTTGACTTAAATTGGAAATTTTTATTATGCATTTTTTTCAGCAACAAATAAGATTAGTCATCATGAATAAAGATAGCTAACAGCTTCCACTGTCCAGGTAGAACTATTGAGTGGTGATTAATATGAATATCTTGGAATATAATGATTTTAGAGAAATCTCTTGGCCTTGTGGGGATTTTGAGCAGCCATTTTGGGAATTTTAACATTAGAAATTGGGAATTTTAATGTTTATTTTCTATTGGGAACAGTGCCGTTTTAGGGTAGTAAGTATATAAAGAAAAAAAAAACACTGGGTGCATAAATGTTAAGGTCTTCAGCATACCCATTTATATATTATGACATGACAATTAATGCCGCATCAGATGAAAAACAAATATTGGTTAAAAATCCGTATAAAGTTTTGGAAGCCAGAACTACAGAAACCCCTGCATGCAGTTTGACAGCTCTAATGATTCAAAAGTTTGGCCACTGACATTACAAATTTAGCCAAAATAGTAAACATTTCTGTCACAGGATGAGAAAAAATGTGCAGCCTGACCAGGACTCAAACCCGGGACCCTCGAATTACCGTACCGCGACTATACAGACTGAGTTATCGGGCCGTTTTCACATCATTTCAACTAAATAGTAATCAGTTCTGAACCGTGACAATTTTATACCATGAGATTGATGTCAATATATATGCTTCTGATAGTCACAAGTGACAAGAAATTTTACATAAAATTCACTTTCCAAATAAGTGTAGGTTTTTAGCAAAACTGGCAGAACATTATCAAAACAGTATCACAAGAATCTGGTAAAACTTACTACACGATCTGATGGAAAAATGTCTTTCTGTGTTTAATTTCTTTTGAACATGCTGATCAATATTCTGTGTTTAATGGTACCCCACCCACAAATTTCACTTTGGTTGTAAAAATAGAAAAGAAATGACTAAAGTTTCGCTTGAACGAATTTTGCGATCAACATGAAGTCTAAATTTGCAACCAAACTAATATGTGGCTAAAATACATTCTCAATGTATAGTGTATGATGAAAATTTGCTAAATGCAAACCTTACTGCAGATAAACAATGTAAAGTCTAGTTCCTTGTGGAGGCCGCCATGTTTATTCGATCGCCAGGTCAAAGGTCGTTCCGGTTCACTGAGGCGCACAAAGAAAATGTGTTATCGATTAACAAGGACTGAGTACGTAAGGTAAACTATATATACTGCGGTATACCAAGTACAATGGCATTGACCACTTTATACCAATATGATACTCAATAGTAAAAAAATATATATATGAAAAGATTCGACCCCCCAAAAGAAAAAACCGAAGAAAAACTAGTTACAGAACTTTTTATGAGAAATAATATTATAATTGACTAGAATGTAAAATCTGTTTTACTATTTATTATCAATCGTAAATAAAATACATGTAGAATAGAAAAGTAAATATTAAACTAAGTATATCTACCTAGGTTAAGGTATTAGGACCCTAATGGGCACTATCAGGAACTAAAAAGTCAGATGTATACCTTAAAGTACACCTGTATGCAAAATTTAAACAAAGTTTACCGTACGGAAATCAAGTTATGGCCACTTTTCTGAACTCAAGCTAGGGTGTTATGAGGGCCTTTTTTTAGAAAGTAGGAACCTTTAAATAATCTGCAATAACATTCTAATGAAAAATGTTTTCCCATTAATTTTTGGTAAGAAACAAATAGTACCATTCAGCTAACAATCCAAATAAGCAAAATTATGGTTTCTACTTAAAATTTATGAAATCTGTATAAAAATGTTTCCCTACCCCACCCATTTTTACCACATGTCTGACCATTTTTCTACTAAGGGAGCCTAATTAAAAAAATTCTTAAAATTTACCCAAATGAGTGCCTGTTTTCAAAGTTTCCCTAAATTTTTAAAAAAAGTATATTGGTTGATCTTGTAAAATATGAAATACTTTTACCGTCTAGTTTTGATTTCATTACACTTTGAAAATATCAGGTACCATATTTATTACTAGATTTAGCATAATTTAGCCAATAAATACCTATATAAATTAAAAAATCAAAATTAAACACTTTTTTCTTTCCAAATGGGGCATGAGAGATACATAAATAATGTTAAAAGAAAAAAAAAAAAGAAAAAAAAGTTGACCCTTCTGGGGATTGAACCCATGACCCTCATTTTCAATGTAGTTAACAGTAGTTCTAGCCTATTTGAATACTCTTCAAAGCGGAGGTAATGCATTAGGGTGCTAATACCTTAATGGAATATTTTTGAAAATGCAGGTACACTTATGCCTAGGACACAAATAAAACGGGCGCCGTCCGATTAAACGATTTTTATAAAATCGGCAGATTTTTTGATATCGTGGACGCCGGGCGATTTTAAATCTGATACCTTGCGTGGTCATGAATGAAACAGTCGTCGGGCGATTTTTGTCGAGTAGATTTTACAGAAAGAATTGAACGGATCAGGCGGCGACCATTTAAGGTATTAGCACTTTAAAAGTGAATCGGACGGTTGCCGCGCGGGCGTCGGGCGACAATGACTTTACATTTAATGACATCCTAGATAAATCAGCTAGTTGTATATAATTATGCCAGCAAAAAAGTCAGTTGCCAAAGCCAAGGGGAAGGCCAAGGAGTTGGTCAGTGTTGTTGACAACGAGTCACCAACGACCAGTATCGAGGCCGTAGAAGGCGAAAATCAATCAGACATTCGCATGGACATTGAAGAATAATTCATGTTTACTAGTATTCAAAAGAAATTTAAAAAAAATATTTTTGAGGCAATTACAACTTCTTCAAGCTAAAATTACAACAAACACAAGCAGCCCGGTCGCCGGATGACAAAACGATGACCGCCCGGTGCCTGTACATGAATCGTCCGGTTACTGGGCGATAATCGTTTGACTACTTGTCTCCATTCAGGCACCGGGCGGAGCCCGGCCGATGTCCGCCCGGACGCCTTTTAAATCGGACGCTGTTTAAGTAGAACAAAAAATCGCCCGATCAAAAAAAATCATCGCCCGGTCGCCGGGCGGCGACCGAACGAAGTCCGCTCGATGATATATATACTGAGCGCGTTCGGCATACCTACTCGAGTTAACACGGGTTAACACGGGTAATGCTCTAGTACAACTCGTGTTACCCGGGTAATGTTACTCGTGTGACCAAAATTCTACCCACCTCAAGAAGCCGGGAAAGTGGGTAATTCTATCCGAATATATTGCCACTTGCAGATTCAATATGGCGGAATCGACGGAAACCTAGTTATACATAGTTCCTTCTGTATTTTCTTCAGCTGTCCTATGTTTTTATTACACCCCACAAATGAAGTTTATTTACTGTTTTAGCCACCAGCAATGTAGAACGTCATGAATGGAATGATTCTGAGACTAAATTACTACTTGATACTACTGCTGCGAATATGGAAAAACTGAAAGGGGCTAAAAACAAAACAAAAGTATGGACAGGTATTGCGGAAGTTCTCATAACACATGGTTTCAATGTTACTGTTACACAATGCATAGACAGGTACAAATATATGAAACGGTCATACAAAGCATATGTAGATAAAAATAAGAAATCAGGAAGTGGAAAGTGCTCATTTAAATATGAAAAAGAGATGCATGCTCTTATTGGGGACGACCCGGCAGTAAAACCACTTTGCACATTTGGATCAGGGGATAAAGTAGAAGGCACTGATCTTGATGCCAACGAAACTGATGAGAGTTCAGATGTTTCTTCACCAGCCTTTGAATCCAAGCGTCCACGCAGAAAAAGCATGGTAAATGAGTTGAAGGAATTGATGGAGGAAAGAGACCAGAGAATGCTGTCTGTAATCGAAAAAATGAACAGTGAACAAAACAATTTATTGAAGAAACTTATTGATAAGTTGTAAATCTACTACAGTTTGTAATGAAGGTTTAGTGTCCCATATAGAAAATCACGGTAACTATTGGAAAGGTTAAAAAGTAAATGTTTGAATTTTGTTTATTTGCTTTTTTAATATATGTATAACACATATTACAAGAGTTTATGTTAAATATTGTTTTGCCAGGAAGGCTTCTGTTTTTCATTTTATCAAAATATGAACAATCAAGCTTCTGAAGAAATGTATTGATAATTGTAAATTATCACAGTTTGAAGATGAGGTGAAATGTAATGCAGAGTCGTAATTTAGAAAATCTGTGTGGATATTGGAAAGGTTCTATGTAAATACATTTTGAGTATCCCTTGTTAGAAAGCGTTATTTTTACTTATTTTTGTTCAAGGAAGGTTTCATTTGCTGAAAAGTAATCGGGACAAGTGACATTTTTCTTTAAATTGTCTTGAATTTGTTGCAAGGCATCTAATACTTTACTTGTAGTAAGTAAAAAGTAAATTGTTCTATATCACCCTAATTTTCAGCTTTATTTGCAAAAATAAGGCCTAAATAAGTATTTTTGATACATTTAAGGTAATTTCTGTGTAAGTTGGCCTTTGTCATTTGTACTTTTAATAAACATTTTTACTAAACACTAACACTATATTTTCATGAACATTGAAATAAATCTTAAGGCGTGCTGCTTTAATTGCTATATTTTTAGCTCACCTGAGCACAACGTGCTCATGGTGAGGTATTGTGATAGCTCAGTGTTCGTCGTCCGTCATCAACAATTTGTTAAAACAACATCTCCTCCTGAACCACGTGGCCAATTGTAAACAAACTTTACAGAAATGATCCTTAGGTGATCCCCTTTCAAAGGTGTTAAAAAAATTAAATTCCATTGAAAATTCTGGTCGTTATGGCAACCAATAGGAAAAATCTTGTCTGAACTATTTCACCTAGAGCTTAGATATTTGGTGTGTAGCATTCTCTAGTGGACCTCTACCAATATTGTACAAATTATGGCCCAAGGGTCTATATTGGCCTCGCCTGGGAAGTCAATTGATTTTACATAGACTAATATAGGAAAAACTTCAAAAATCTTATTGTTGGAAAGTATTTGGTCTAGAGCTTAGATCTACGTTTTGGCCTGGTTTTGTTTACACCATTATAATTCTGTACTCAGGTGAGTGACCTGGGGCCAATGGTCCCATTGTTTTCAGCTTTGTTCATTGCATAACAATGCCTTCCTGAATTATTTCATTTTTACAATCATGTTTTATTGTAATGTTCTATAACTTCTTAATAAATTCTGTTTCAACCCTTGCAATATTCTTTGTATAAAAGACTAAAGGATCTTGCTCCCGAAATTGCAGGTTCTGGCATGGAATACATCTATAATCTAACACATCCCTGTCTGTCGCTCCACACTTTATGCGGGATTTGTAAAAGTCCTGCTGAAGTATTTCTGGTAAAGTTAATAAAAGTTAGATCATTTTCATATTTAAAGTTTGATTAATCTTTACCTTGAATGAAACAGCTGTAAGTGGGATGTAAGAGGAATAGTTTTTTTTGTTGTTTTTTTTTCAGACGAACATTAATTCTGATTTGGATTGGACTTTGTTTGTTGAATTAATTAGAAAAGCACAAAAAACATGTTTACTTCTTGTCGTTAATTTGTACTATATATTTACTTAAGATAAAACAATAGCAACAAAAAACAAGTGCAAGTTGTACTTTCCGTATAATAAATTGATAAAATATTACACAGGAAAGGGGACTTTTATATTTGTCCAAGTCAATATTTTAAGGGAAGCGGTGGACGAGAAGTAAAGGTGCACATGTTTGTCCTTCAATCCAGGGATAAAGGTTCGAGCCTCACGGTCACGACTATGTTTCTTCAAAGTTCACCAGTACATGTAAGCTCCAGGTTATCACCAGGAAACTGACTTTAGAGTGGTTCAGATAGGCTTACAAGATTCCATAAAAACAAACTTGTTTCAACTGAGTCAGTATTTAATGTTGAAGACGACATGTTTCCTCTTCAAATCTGATCGGGGTCAATTTGGAAGCACATTGTGTCTTATAAAAATAAAAGCAGTCACTTTTTTTTTAATAAAGTCAAAGAATAACGACAATGGTGTCAGTATTATATTTTAATTTTAATGATTATGATAACACAAGTAGTGTCTTAAAAATGATAACTGAACTTAATTGGCAAACCCTTGAGCAGCGTCGGAACATCAGTGCTGTAACCTGTACCTGTATAATATCCAAAACAACATTGTCTTTGTTGACCACCAACACCTTACTCAAACAAGAAATCTGAACTACCTGATACCCTACTCGAACACAATTCCATCAGAATTCTTCATTTCCTAGGAGCATACGTCTTTGGAATAGCCTTCCTCTAACTGTTCAGTCTAGCCCCAGTTTTAAAATCTTTACTGAGAGGCTTGACCCATTCTTCAAATTCTAATTTGCTCACTATGTCTTTTAAAGTAATAGTCTTGTAGAACGTTTATCATATAAATAAAGTCTTTTATTGACAGTTCCCTGACAACGCGCCTGCTAGTCATAATCAGAATTGATTGTACAAAAGCTAACAATACATTTTTTATAGATTTATTATTTGGCTGTAGAAACCGAAAGTACAAAATGCCAACCTGTGGTCATTAAAGATCCTGTAACTCATTTTTTATGGTTTTATATCATAAATATAATGCTCATTATTTGTAAAGATATTACCGAATGTACATTTCATGCTAATAAAGAGAGGTAATTAAAAACTTATTTTCTGTAAAGTGAATGCATATATTTTAATGATTACATATTATGTGGACAAACTAATATTTGCAATACATATTTTACATATTCTTCGATGTTTGAAAATTGTTTTAGAAGCAGAATTATATACATATATAAAACATTATCGAAGATTACACTATCTTTTTCTGTTTACATCTGAAACTTGGTGGTAGAACTTTTTTCAATCCGTAATAACTCCGAAGTTATTATAGATAATAGCCAAGGACGTTCCGATTGAGAAATGAGTCTACTGTCTGTTTGCTCTTTCATGTACATTTAGTATGAACATGTATACTTTTATTGAGTAAACACGTTTTATTTATTATATGAGCGTAATGATTTTTACTGCGCATAATTAATAATCTTACTGCGCATGCTCATTAATCTAACTGTACATAATTAATAATGTGACTCTGGATAATCCAGGTATTTCTGTAATGGATGTTCCAGCAGGTACTCCTGGAGCTGTAAAGGAAGTCCAAGAGATTCAACAGTGCTCGGTGTGAACGGGTGAACGGTTTGACGGACAGCATACCGACAGCAGTGTTGTAGGCTTGAACAACGAACCACTCGCTTTCGGAGCTGTTGTTTTTCCTGGCAAATAAAATAACATAAAAAGCATTTAAATGGATAATGTTTCTGATCTTTAGTGTATAGAATTTGTTTTACGATGGCATTCTGTGAGATCGATGGAAACATAATAGCCCTTGCTACGCTTTATATCTTAAATGGACTAGTCCAGCTTTCAGTCTGGACAAACTCATTCATCATATTTAGGGATTTTTTTTAAATATGAATTTCAGTCCTGGAATAGCAAACATTCAGACCATGTTCAGACGACACGGATTATCCGGCTTATCTTAATCTACACTGGTCACATGGGTACTTTCAGACGGAAAGGTTTAAATGAGAAATCGTTTAGACACGATTAAATAATTAATTCTTAGAAATAGATAAAATTGTTTCAGTTTCAAAAGCAGTGATTTTTTCAAATATTATTTACTTTGATTGAAATCAGAAAATTCATTTAATAGTTTAATTTTGTCAAGAAGGATATTAAAACGAGCTAGTTTCTTGTCACGTTTGTCGAGCTTACTTACTTAGTTGTATGTAATAATAAAATATACTAGAAACTATGTAAACGGTTTCTAACCATATTTATCGAATCCCCCGGGAAAATTGGTTTGTAGACCTTTGCAAGAGCTGTGATTAACTCATGCGGAACGAACGCTAAATAATCCACTAACAGGTAAATTAGACAATGCCCTCTTTCATCTATACCTCTTCTTAATGATTCTCGACGCTGTAACCAATTTTGCACTAATATAATCCAGACTTTAAGCGATATCCGAGCTCTTCGGAACATGAAGCAAACCAACTCTAAACTAAATAAATCTATAGCATCGCGTAATGGTATGCTACCTTCGGTAGCAGTAACGTAACAATAACGTTCTAAAACATCATTTACATCACCCATATGTTGCACTAACAGATGTAAAATATGACTTTTCTTTTGCCTTAGGGCACAACTAAGAACTGAATTAACGCTTAAATCAGTTCCCATAAGCGCTCCTCGATTCAGCAACAACTCGCAAATATCACTGTTATTTTCTTCAATGGCAAACATGAGGGGGCTTTTAAATGATATTCCATTGCGAACAATTGACATTTCCCTTGTAAACTGGTGGATATCACATCCTTTATCCAAAAGGGTTTTAACTATTTTTAGTTTGTTCAGTTTTGTCGCATATGTGAGAAGAGTCCAGCTTCGTTTGAAAGTTTCAGGCAGGATTTCTTCATTCAGGTCTTCGGCAGTAAAATCTTCAACGAAGTTCACTGCTTCTTCCTCTGTACCGTATTCAAACAGCAACATTGCTTTAATTGATTTTGTTGTGTCAGATTTTCCAAAGCGTATGTACACTATCAGACACTCTTTCATTTCAGCCTGGGTGGTGACGTCATGGTCGTAATGCTCTATGTCATCAATGCATTGCTTGATGTCATTATCCGAGTAAGAACGGTTACTAAGAATAAGTTTGACCATAGCAACATTCCCATTACAGATGGCGTTTTTCAAAATGTTACCCAAAGAGTTATAGCTTTGCAAAAATATGTTCGCGCCATTTTCTATAAGCAGACGACAGCATTCGAGAACATTCTTTTCTACAGCTAACTCAAAAGGAGTAAACTTAACCAGTCTTCCATTTTGGAGTCTTTCAGAATGCTTGTTCACATCGGCGCCTTTATCAATTAACATTTTAACAATTTCAGCATTACGTTTAAACATGGCATATGCCAAAAGGGTCCATTTAGGAACGTTTTCACTTGGCGGGAAACTGTCATAGACATAAGTATTCACATCATCTTTTCCAAGCGTTAATATACTATTAATAGCATCAGACCACCTCTCTTCTCCAAGTTCCATATGAATTTTATCAACAGTTTTAAACTGACACAAACCGTATCCATATTTAAAGTGATTGTTCAACCATTCCACGGAATCCATCAATTCAGGACATTTACTTTTACTAAACAGTAATTCTCTAAATGTTGTTTGCCAAGAAACGTTAGAACTATGAGTTAGTATTATTTTCAGCTTGTCTAAACAAGTATTAAACTCGGCCCGATCTTCCGGATGAAAGCTTTCAACTATATTGGTCACAAGTTCTGCACATTCCTCATTGCAAAGTATATCGTATCCATTCGATGATAATATTTTTATAATTTCTTCATCAAACTTTTCAAGGACAGTAAAACCAAATATGGTACGTCCTTCTAACGGTTTTAGATATTCTAGTGGACATCTTTCGTTATCTAAAATCTTTGTATCAATTAATAACTGAACAACTTCATGATTTGTTGCCATTATTGCCTCTTTAAAAAGATCTCTACAGTCATCCATGGAAAGACTAATATCATCTTTTCCGTCATTTAGAATCTGTTCAATTCCTGCTTTGTTTCCGCTCTTCACAGACAGCCTCAATGCCCGGAACATGTTCACTTTCATGCTGAAATGAAAAAAAGTAATAAAATAGGCATGTGTTTAACAAATTTGTTACATATTTCGTATATAGTACGTATTAGCAACAATCATGACATGCACACACACATCAATGAATTTAATAAATAATTTTATTACATGATTGTGTACTTATTGACCATTAATAAAAGCATATCATTTGCCTTTGGTGTAGAAAATGATGATTAAACAGATCTTAATATTCAGCCTGCATGCGGGAATTGAATTAATCCAGGTCACCAATGCAGATCAAGCTTAGCCGACTCAAAGATACTTGCCGTCTGCTCATGATCTGCACTTTCCACTATTCAACCAGTGCATGCACACATGTTATAGTGATTTCTTTATAAATGGTTTTGACTTTTGTCCGGACGGACAAGGATATGTGTGCGGAGAGTATTGGTTAATAAGAATGAATATCAGATTGACTTTAAATTCGGTAAGAGGACATATCTGGTTGTTTATTATTATTATTATTATCGGGGATATCACAGACAGGGCAATATTCCATAATTTCTGCAATTGTAAATGCTCGAAATTGACTGTAATCTAATTCAGTCATATATAATACAACTTACAAAGTGGTTTTGTTATCTTTCTTCAAATGTATGTTACTTAAATGTGGACACACATTAAACCCTGCCAAAGTTGCTCTTTTTTCTATATTGTACATGTAAATAATTTGAATTTAAAATTTTGTTAAGTATTAAACAGGCTCCAGTCTTAAACGGCAACTAATTAATGGGCCTTTTCATACTAATAACAACGGCGTTACACAGCAAGACAAGCTGTAAGTGGGTTAAGTAATAGAAAGAGCACCGAAACACGAGGTTATCTGATTTGTACGAGGGGGGCGTAGCCCCCCGAGTATTAAACAGATTACCGAGTGTTTTGGTGTTCTTTCTCTTTTGTATCATAGTCAAACATAAAAACACGTTCCCTGTTGTTACAATATGAAACCCCGGCAAAAATGAACCAATGAACGAGCATCTAAATATGACATTTCTGTCGATTTCACTTTCACTGCCGTCACAATATGTAAACCCCAGCAAAAATGAGCCAATCAATGGGCATGCTCTGGAGTGCGGGTAACTAATACCCGCACTCCAGTTAACGCACTGTGCATGTATATGTAAACGATTTCACAGACGCTTGGGGTTTGGAGCTCAAAACGCCTTTAAAATCCAAATAAAATGCATATTTGTCAATCCCAGGACATGTACTGATCATATATATCAAAAAATCTTAATATATGCCGTTTTGAAAAAAAATCATATTTCAACATCTATAATAATACAGTGTATATATAGTGTATTATTATAGTTATTATTATAGATGTTGAAATATGACTTTTTTTCAAAACGGCTTATATTAAGTTTTTTTGATATATATGATCAGTACATGTGCTGGGATTGACAAATATGCATTTTATTTGGATTTTAAAGGCGTTTTGAGCTCCAAACCCCAAGTGTCTGTGAACGATTTAACCCTGACACATTTTCAACAGAAAGGTCTCCAAACTATGATACAAATAGTAATATTTTACAGTATATATAGTACATGCATACAGTACATGTATATACTATATCGATCATGACCTATTTAGAGAAACACAACAATTTAAATGAAAATAATACGTAAAAAGCTGGGAAGACGTATTTACTTATATCAAATAACTATCTTAATCATTTAACATATAATTTGGGGAAATGTAAACTTCTTAAACTACTATTAAAGATAAATCAATAAAAGTTGTAAATATATAAATACGTACAATTTGTTATTATCCAACAGTAGTCAAAATATATATCCGACAGTGGAGGTCAATCTTCTCGTAGTGATCTCCCCTCAATACTGCAGTATGCGTCTAAGGTGATCCGAATCACGTGATCAGCATATTTTTCTTTTTAATTCGACAATATAAACAAAATGACATGTTCCTTATAATGTTTCCTTGGACAGAAAAATCAATAGATTAAAGAATTGAAAAAAAATGAGCACGTCTAGTTGTGTGGGAAATTATTTGTTTTAAGCTGTGCAGATAATCTTTGTTTTAAATGAAGGCTTTAATCATATATCTACCCTGAATTAAGTTATTAATTACTGTAGATTGCTTGTCTAATATTGTGAAATAATCAAATAAAAAAAATCACATTGGCTTTTTTTCTGCATCAGTATTAAATGTCACGAGTTTAAGCGCTGACAATAATGTGATGTTTAAGACAGAAATGAGACCAGTTATTTCCAGATTAATTCATTTGAGTGCTTGAGCAAACAGGACTTGAAAAATATTTTAGAAAATAACGTACGTTACGCTTTTCATAAGGTGATTATGATTGCCTGCACTAAATGAAACTTTTACAGAAGGGTCGAAAAGTTGTGATTGTAGCTTGCGCGAAAATAAGATTCTGTAAGACAAATATAGTATTTTCTGACATGCAAAAAGAATATTATCACAGTAAGTCAGTACATGTATAACAAATTTGTATTACGTAGACTGTACATATTTATAAAATCGTTTAAATAAGTTAGATTTTCGGTCATATGGTTACTGTATACTTTGATATTTAGGTGTATGAATAAAATATATCAATTCTGACTAATGTTAACACTGGTCACATGAAAATATGACATTACCGTGAAATACAATGTAAGTGATGACGCAGGATTAGTGCACAGGCAAAAGTATCGGACCTGGGAAGAAAAAATATGACCAGATTGATAAAAAAAACCAGTGTTCATCTTAAAAGTGTCAAAAAAAACAAAAAATATATATATAATGACCCCCTTTAAAAATATACTATAAGTTAAGTAACTTATTAACTTATTAAATTAACTTATAGTATATTTTTAAAGGGGGTCATTATATATATATTTTTTGTTTTTTTTTGACACTTTTAAGATGAACACGTACTGGATTTTTTTTATCAATCTGGTCATATTTTTTCTTCCCAGGTCCGATACTTTTGCCTGTGGATTAGTGATGTTCTGTAGGCAGAGATTTTTTTTTTGGATTTTATTCAACTCGTTCAATGAATTTAGAATAAATCGACAGTTATTCATTATCCCCTATATATGAAGTGTCAATAAAACCTTTTGCATAAAAAGGCACACTTCCTGCTGCACATTACGCCTCATTATGCATATCTACCGTTTTAATACTCTATAAATAGAAATTGGTAAACCCAAAATTAAACCGGAAGTGTCCATCATCAATAACAAAACAAAGATGGCGTCTACACCGTTTGCTGAAACCAGATCTCCGTTAACAATTTTAAATAACTTGCCAAAGGAACATGAAAAGGCAATAAAACAGGCGTTTTATAATACAGCTGCAAATATTTTCGTTTTATTGGCATGTGCAACGACTGTAGCTGTTTATTTTATCCTGGAATCGTTTCTAAAACCGCTACTCTGGGCAGTTTTGTGTGGAGCTTTTTTGTATCCGTTTAAAAGATCGTTAACGAGTGCTTTGAGAAATTGGTTAACAAGTTTACATAAGTCAGAAACGCCATTTCTTGTAGGACTTGCTGTAACACCAATCAAATGTGCTGATAGTGCTATTGATTGTTTATGCACAGGACTTTACCAGAAGAGAAAACTAGTCCTTGGAATACTGCTCAGCACACAAGCTGTTTACCTGTTATGGCATTTTGCTCCACTTTGGACAACCTTTTGGATTCTGCAACGATTTTTCGTTCATATATACGACCTTCTTGGATATTTTAGTACTTTCTGGGTGAGTGTATTTAGAAGTGAAATTACTGACTTGTAATAAATATACCAACCAATATCTGAACCGCAGTCTTTGAGGCGTGTTGATTGGTCAGTACTCTATGCTTACTATGCTCAAAAACAAGAAAACAAGATACATATTAATATATATTTAGTAAAGGTATGGAATTTGCCGCTTATTTTTCAGCACTCGCCTTAAGATGAACTTCATAACTCCAACATTTTTTCACCAATTTTCAAAATCTTGGTTCGAAATGGTAGGGAATTGATTACTCTTAAAGGAAATAAAGTTGTCATTACACTCATTTCAACTTGTAAGAAGATATGTTATCACGAAGCCGCAGCAAGTGTAAGTCAACAGCAACCAGACCACTGGGTTTATGTGAAAATTACCCCACTGAACAGTTTATTCGAAATGAATGATTATTTTTCATATGCCCGAAAGAATTTCGGGCATATTATGTTATACCCCCTGGCGTCCGTCCGTCCGTCTGTCCGGTGCTCTTGTTTGTATTGCACATATAAATATGATAGAATTATATTATTACTTACAATAATGTTAAATCAAAACGTCATATGAAACTACAACAAACCGTTTCCCCAATATGTCAAATTCTCAATCCAAAATGAAAGTAACGGATTGCTCCCCCTTTATTTTCGTTTGGAGTATTTTCATTGGTCATGTGAAACCTTCAGACCAATAAAAATACTCCATACAAAAATAAAGGGTAGAGCACTCTGCTGTCACTATTACTTCAATTACGAATGGGAATATATGGGACATACATGTACACAGGGGTGTGGAAATCCCATGCCCGACTTGTCCGACTGGGGACTTTATGCCTGCGGACAAGTAGATTTTTCCATAGAACTTGTCCATGGACAAGTGAAAATCTGAGCCAGTAGGAAAAACAAAATACTGTATTTTTGTCGCTTATCAATGGGGAACATTTATTGTAGAAAGTTAAGTTATAATTCTTGGTTAACTATGAGGAAATCACTTTTTCATATCAACCATTTCAACCCATGGAAGAACTCTTGCAGGAAAGCAGGCTCCTTGATACATGCAGGTCATATGGAGGAACCTAACTCTTTATTTAAAGTAGATTTTAAAATGCACATTTGGTAACAATTGTAAAGTTGTTTTGGTTCAAATTTTTTCAAAAGGATAATTGTTTGGACATCATTCATTGCTTTATAAGAGTTGTAGATTGTTTCCTTAAACTACAGAAATGATGTCTGGTCTTTACTAAGCAAATCTGTTCACACTTACCTATATGAAAGGACACTGTTACCTCTAATTAACTTTTGTTTAAACACATGGCCAATGTTTTGTATTTTCATATGGGCAAGTACAGTTAAGCTGCGGACAAGTAAAAATTTCTGGCCAACTTGTCCGTGGGCAAGTGGCAAAATTTCATATTTCCACACCCCTGGTACACAATAGCTGACACATGCTACATGTACATATTAGCAAGACTTATATTGATCATTCTCCATCATCTGTCTGTCTGTCTTTCTGTCTGTCCATCACAAAATTTTTTCAGAACTACTCCCCAAAAACTACTACTGCTGCAATTTCATCCAAACTTTTTGGCCCTTTAATTGTTTTCAGACCCCCGCACAACAAAGTTGTAAGGGGGTATACTGGAATCAGCAAGTCCCTCCGGCCATCCATCAGTTTTTCTTTGTCGGCTCAATTGCTTAAGAATGCTTTGGTCAACAGTCTTCATATTTGGTATTGAGGTTAGTTATGACAAGTGGATGACCTCTATTGATTTTGGGGTCACAAGGTCAAAGGTCATGGTCTGAAGGGCCTTGACTAAAAACAGTCCAATAAGTTGGCAGTTTCACTTTTGAGGTCAGTAGGTCAAAGGCAAAGGTCACTTTGATCTTTGCCATTTAAATTATGTAGAATACATAACTTAACAATGCACTGGCTTACTACCCTTATATTTGGCAGGGAGGTTGTCCTTGAGCTCTAAATGACCACTGTTGATTCTGATGAAGTGGTATTAGGGGGTATCTCTTGCACTCTTGTTTATATATGCATTAAATGTTACATTATTTTCAATGACTACAAGACTCTTAGACATGAAATAAATGTTTTGAGTTTTTACAGATTGAGAACCTCTGAAATATTTTGATTGTGTAGGAAGATATATAATCTAATAGATGCACTGTAAAATTTGTTTCTGGAACCAATCAGTGCTAAGCAATGAGTGCAAAGTTTCTAGCTCAAATCTCTTGTATGTTATACAAATAAGAATGAAAATTCAACAAAATTTAGACCATAACTTTTTTATTAGAAGCCTGAAGGTAAGCATAATTGCATATTATATGTATAATTGATATACTTGAACCTATCAGTTACTTTAATAAAATGTCTGGGGTTGCTATTAAGTATGTCCTTGACAGGGTCTGACCCCATGCGGTCAGCATTTAGAAGAAAGTTGAAGTTACTTGTCTGCCGTTTAAGTTGTAGATCATTCCACCAAACCACCACTTATGACTTTATATTGATTTGTTGTCCAAATTAATGTTTATAAATTGTTAAAAAGTTTTGCTGTTACCCTAAGTTAAATTTGAAGTACATTGTTTACATGAATATGACTGTAAAGTGTACTTATTAATGTGGTTAGTTTATCTTTAATCTTTAATGTTTACATTGTGAGTTTGTGTTTATGCTTTGTAAAGCCTTAAAAATCTTTTTTGGCCAATTCCGTAAATATTTTCAAAAAAATTTCTTATTTGGTGAACAGCAGGGTGAGCCTTTCCTTGATAGCTTTAAACCATAGGCCGCTAAAACTGAACCTGATAAACCTTTGCCACCAGTACAAGGCCAGGCCAGCCATACAGTCTAACTTATCAGCAAAATTTTCTTTTGAATTTTCAATATTGACATCCCTAGAAAATTATAATGGACTGTTCCAACTTCAAAGCTGGGCAAATTCATTATACAAGTTCTGCAGGTTAAGGGTAAACTCTAGCATACTTGAACTTTAGACTGCTCACACAGGTCAAGGTCACATTCCTCAAGCTTTGTTAAAGGCACATTATGCCTAAGAAACAAATATATTTTTACTTCTTAAGAAGGGGTAAACATGACTTTAATTACATTTAAATAATGGTTTTGAACCCATGTTAGTTTCTTTTTACGTGTAGAAAGTAGCGTTTAATGTGAAATAATGTGTCATTAAAGGGGCCGTCACTAAAGTAGCAAAATGTAAACAAAGTAGTATTTTAACTATCATACAATATTCTAAATCACTATTAGTATTACAATACTCATTGCCGAAAAGCAACAGAAGAAAAAGATGGTTAAGGTAATTTGTTAATGAGTAAGTTTTTGGAAACTTTTAAAGTACACCAAAAATAGATAGGTTTTTAGAAACAAAAATTAAAGCATTTTTGTGGCATAATGGGCCTTTAAATATATATGTTTCAAAATTTTGTGATACTTATTTGAAAATCAGACATGCCTGAAAACCACTGCCTGATGTGAAAACGGGACTAAACAAATAACATGCTTGCCAGAAAGTAAATTTCATTAACTGTTTCAGTAATTAACTGTTGCTATAGCGATATATATAAACCCTGCTCTTAATCATGAGTTAATGTTCTTTACAGAGATGGCTAGACATGATAGATATTGCAGTGTAATATACTGCTACTTATAACTGCACACTGTTCTTAACTGCTTCAAGTATGTACTTTAAAACCATTAAAGATGGCCAAGCAATACAAATATTTTGTTGTCATTTATAAGATAGAATGACGTAAATGTACATGGAGCAACTTTGCATTTGATCAATTGAATATGCCATTTTATATATATATAGATTTGTTTGGGAAAATTATTATTAATAGTGACAGCTACATGTAATGCTTGTGTATTATTGAAATTAGTATTATTTCAGCTAATTGTTACAAATTACCTGTGCTTTTCAGAAAAGCAGCATTTTAGTGTCATAATATCTTTGTCTGATACTGGTTTTACATCACAAGTGTTCTTTATATAATTATAGACTACATGTAGTTTTTACTCCCCTTAGACAATAGGTCTTCTGTTAGCTGGAGTTTAGGAGTCATTCACTCTTTGACTTGTTAGTAAAACCAAAATGTTATGCTTTTTTCTACTTTAGTAATCTTTACCTATACAATATGACTTCCAAGGTCAGAAATTTTACAATTTGTTCATATACCTGTAAATTTGATTCTTAGAAAAAGTTTTTTCACAGAATAACGGAATTTTCTGGTAAGGCTTAAACCCTAAAGATCTATGGGTTGAGAGGCAGACACTCTAACCCCTTATCTCTCCCCTTTATTTAGACTTGTCTATGGTAGCACCTGTAAATAATTTTTGTTGTTTCAGGTATGGACAGTGTTTGTTGCATATTTTGTAGCAATAATATTCCTGTGGACGCCCGAATCTCGAGGGTTACTGAAGAAGATATCCATACCAGTATGGCTAATGTTTATACTTCATGTTGCAGCAACTGCAGGTACGTTATGCAATTTGGTAAATCAGGGAGAGTAAGATGAAAATGTTCATATTCCCTACATAATGAGGTCACTATGTAACGCTTGTATGTCATATGACATTTATAGGTTGTGGCCACAAAATTAAACAGTTTGCTACAATACTTCGTCAAACTTATTAGTTATTTCATTTGTATGGCAAAGAAATTTAAGATTCTTACCACTCTAAAATAAGAGTTCTAAAAAATCTTAAATGTATTTTTTTATATTAAATACAATGTATTTTTATTTGGACATCTTATGGTATATATTCATGCTATTGAAATATGAAAATATTTCCAGTATTTGGCAGTATATATTATACATTGTTTTTGAACCCAAAAGGGTCAAGGTCACTGTTACTAAAAATAGAACATCATAAACATCAATTCCTTGTAAATCAAACCAGTCTATTGCGTTAATCAAGCATTAATTTGCTAATGTATAATTTCTGTTGATAAGTATAATAAGAGAAAATAATATACATGTACAACATGTATAACATCAAACACTATTGATATACAATAGTTACTTTTGATCTATGGACTGGGAGTATTCATCATCAGATGTGTATATTTGCTAGACTGGTATTGCATGGGGAATTCATCTGCATATTCATAATTGATTGATTAGGTAACATGTGGTATGTTATATATAGAATTTGCATGAATCAGCATACTTAGAAAATACACAGTTGAGAATTATTATGATACACATTTAAGACTCATAAATAACAATATTTATACATTTATTATGTATCTGTTATCAACATCTTAGAAATGTAGTTTAAATCTTTTTATATATATTACTTAATTTCTTTTTAGGCAGGCATGAAATCTGACTAGTTTTACTTGACGTTGTTTCAAGCATAGATTTTTTCTCCACTGAAAATTTGCAACTTCTCAACATGAGCAAATGATAGAGGACAGACCTGTGACAAATTAGTTTGTCCTCATCTATTATTATGGTTTGATGCATATGGGATTCAATGCCCTAATTATTATCTTATAGACCCATTATAAGATTTACTTCCATTCAATATAAAAAACTGACCCTTATAATGAGTAAGTTATTACAAAAGTCTTCTATACAGCAACTTATTATTTGCAGGTATATTGCGGGTGCCTCTGCTGATATTTATGGGTGCGGTAATGATTGTAGGCTTTGTAGCGGATCATAATGAAATGAAAAGACTACAGGAGGAAGGTCAAGGTAAAGTTGCGAATGGGCTTATTAATTAATAACATTGTTTTAATTATTAAACTTTGTTGTTTTAATTTTTAAACTTTGTTAGCTTTCACTCTGGTGACACTATATTCATGTATGTTGTTTAGATATATTTCTGTCATAATAATGGTGGAGAGACCCTGTAAGTAAATTTTCTAGCATTGGTGCGAATACTAGAAAATCTAGCCAGACAAGCAAAAAAAAAAAAAGTTATTTATTTTAGTTTCTTCCACTAAAGTGAATGATAAGCTCTTCAGGATTTTGACAAAAATACAGTTCTACAAAAAATTTTATGAAAATTTTTGAGCCAAATCATTGAGAAGAATGCATGCTCTTTAACTATGCATAATACTATTTTTAAACTGTTAGATATATGGTTTCATGTATTTTTCTGTAGAAAAACTAAAAATTTCTTTGTGTTCTTTTCTTCACACTTTTAGACCCAAGTCGAAAGTCCATGTTTGAGTCTGCAATGAGTATGTTGATTGGCGACACCACGCCTCCTGAGTCACATGACAAAATTGACCAACCAGAAGAAGAGACAGAAGGGGATAAACCAATACCTGTTATTGAAAATATTGGTAAATAATATTTTAATTATTAGAGAAATTACTGGTTCTGTGGTAGTATTGTTCAATTACAAATGCATTGAATGCAAGGTAGTCATTATATATGTTACTCTTTTTTAAATTATTAATAAATATATTTTAACATATCATCCAATGATGAGAATCTTTAATAGTGCTTAAACTTTGAGTTTATTCGTCGTCTATGTTAAGCATTATTGTGGGAGTCCATTTCCTGGAAATTGGCCTGTTTTGGTATGATGTGAGGTAACCTTCCCCAGTAGAGTTCAATTGACAGGCAGACAACTTAACAAACCCACAATCCCTGGGTTGAAAGGCAGACACCATAACCACAAGGCCACTGCTAAATTTATTTATTGGTGACTTCATACAGTCTTGCATATTTACCTTTCAAATAAATGTACATACAATGATTGAACTCTACCATTTTACAATGGTACTGTGACCATTTAAGTCAATGTTTATTTACTAGTACAGTAAGTGAAATACACTGAGATAGATCTTTAAGTTTATTGAGACATTGCTCATCTTGGCACGTTAATGATAATTTTTTTGTTACTATTGATTTTGAGCTTGTGTGATTTACTCAATTCATTGTTGATCGTGTGACGCAGGTACAAAGTTGAGATTATAAGATAACAGTTAGGTACTCGACAAATCGGCAGGTCAAAAATGAACAAAAGAGCCTTTTAACACTAACCTGTGCATGCTTTTACACCTTCGTCTTAATTATAGTTGTTTATGGTACTTCACTGACTCATTGAACAAGTATTACAGTTGATTCGTTGAATTATCAATATAATTGAAAAAATAAGATTGCCAAAAAATATGATTCTTTTTTTTTGCTTTGATTTTTAGGCCAAGGCTTTTAGCGTTATTCTGAGCTTAGTGTTATAATGAGTCGCATTATAATGTATGTTGAAAAAAATAAATTTTTATTTTATTTTCTGTAAGGAACTCCAATGAAACCAGAGATGAAAGCCAAAGGTGACGTCACTAAACCTAGTTCACTAAATGTACATCAAGAAGTCCTCAGACGTCCTAAGCAAGGTAGCAAACTGACATCAGCGCCATCCGAGAAGGAGTCTGCAACCAGGTCACTGAGTGACCAGTATTTTATCGGACTGTTATGGGGTCTTGTGTTGACAAGAGTTTGGATACATTTCTGGTTGGTCTGCATCTTGTTGCCCATACCAATGGGGTTATGGATTGTCAAGAAAGCTAGTATGTTGTTACTGCCATTCATTTTTACATTAAAATTATATTTGATAAAGACAGTGGTATATCATATAATGTATGATGAATATGGTTGGTTTTATACATCTTTATTTTAGCTTAATCGCAATGAAAGCTTGTAAGTTTATTTGAACCACTTTAAGCCCACTTTGTTGAATTTATCGCTACTTAGTCGTATATGAAAACCTGTCTTGACGTCAGAAGAGCTCGAACCAATGATCCTTGGATAGAGAGATTGACACCTTAACCACTAGGGCACTGCTTCTCTGAGAATGGTGTTTGTGTATTTCTGAATGTCGTTAAAAAAAAATGAGGTTGCTGCTTTTGTAGCTAAATACAAGCATTTTGTCAACAATTTGATTGTAATAACAGGGCCAGGGTTACATACACATAATTTGGGTTCTAATTCTTTTGAATAAAGAATTTATAAACACTATTATAATGCAGTGACTTTTACTGAGTTGAATTTCACATTACTGTATTCCTAGAAAAGATTTCGCGCATTTTAAGTTTGCGTTTTTCGCGGTAGGCATGATTTCGCGAATCTTTATAGCCGCGAATATGTCACTTATAACAAATCCGCGAACATTTCTAGCTTCAACCAAATAAAAACATAAACATGCAGAATATTTATTATAATCTTCTTACACAAAAACATTTAAACGCAGGTGTGTAAAGAATTATGTATGTATGTTATAGATACCTGTTTGGATCCTGAAGAAATGTCAATTATTAGTAATAATTATCATGCTTATTGACGTTATTTGCTAGTCACGGCGTATACAAAAGCATTTACAGTTATCGTACATTGAATGACTCGGATTTTGTTTGCTTGGAGTAGGTGTAATCCTTTGTTAAAAGTACAATAGCGATCAAGTGCTTCATTGATAAACAGCTGTGGTGTTGTTATAATGAAAGCGATGTACAGTCCAATACTTTGTAAAAAAATTAGGTATCGACGTTTTGAAGATTAAGTCAGTTATGATTCAAATGACAATAAAAGCTTACTTAATCTTACTTAATCACATAGTGAAAAAGATACTAGGAAAATAAACGGAACAACCGTCCGTGTTCGACTAGTCATTTGATGAAAAGGTATCAAGTAACGTAGCACTTTAGTGCGACTATAATGTCAAAAAGATAAAAGAATTAAAAGTACCCAACAGGCAAGGTCATTCATCAAAAACGCAGCCTCCATTAACTGTTATTTTGGCCGTTGTGACTTAATATTAGCGGAATTTGCGATGAATACAAATCCGCGAAAGTTTGTCTTCGCGAAAATGTCGATGTTGTGAAAAACGCGAAATATTGTATCCGCGAACATTTCTAGGAATACAGTATGTTATAGGTCTATATTTTTAATTTCTTAAATATGCACAAATTAGCATGTTGAAAAAAAATCTCCTTCCATCCCTGATTTTTAGACCTTGTAAACCTGATAAGAGTACTTAAGTTTATATCACAAGGTGATGCTTTTAACTGGTATAAAAAAATGATGAAACATGCATTGAATCAGGTATATCATTGGGAAGTTCGGAGGGGCCTTTAGGCGACAAAATGAGGTGTATTAGGAAGGGGATAGCTGATTGGATTAGAGACAGAAGAGATGTTATCATGCCAAACTGGTTACGAGGCATTGCCAGAATTGTAATGAAAGGTGATCAAAAGGTATTGTTACTGAGCTTCTTTTCTTTGTATGATTGAGATCTGTTTATACTATATTTGTTAGAAATATAATCAAGAAGACAAAAAAAATTTCTTGATTTATCATATTTGACTAGTGGTTACTGGATATGAATACTGATATAAAGACACTTTTCCTCTTTAACTGCATTTTGAAATATTGCTCTGGATATCAAATTCTTACATGTAAAGAAGTTGTATAGCTTTTTTATGGAAGCTTGTTTACATATGGTCTTCTATTAGTAACTAATGTCAGTTTATGTATGTTTGTATATATTTCATGCAAGTCTAAACCAGTATGACTTCAACAGAACTACTTTCATTAATTTTCAGTAAAAGAAAGTAATTTTCATTCAATTAGTGATAAGAATAGCTCAAACATACAATTATCAATTTATTTATAAGTGTATTTCTTAATGATCTTTTACATGTCTTTTTGTTTTAAATGCTCCAGCTTATCTATGTAAGAAATTGAAATTTATGTTTTAAGGCTATTGAATCATGGTGGAGTTCCTTTAAAACTTGCTTGGAGGGATCTTACTTGTCAAACTTCCAGCCCCACATTAGCAGAATACAAATCCGAGATCAAAATGTTGTTACAATAAACATATTATATTGTATATTGTTAAAAAAGTGACATGTGTATAATATCAATATTTAACCTTGATGTTGTTATTGTTGATATTTCAGATAATTATGCTGTTGGAATCCTCCTTGGATAAAGCAACAAGTGTGTTGTTTATTCTGTTGTTGTTGGTTGGAAGCACCATGTTTGCTATATTCTTTGCCATACAGGTATATAGAAACTAATTTTCTTTTCCATAGAAATTCAAGTTTATATATGATATACTCATAGAGGAGTAGTAAAACTTGTCAACAAGGAACTTGGAATACTTGCTTATCTGGACAGGGTGCAGTTGTTAGACAAGGGCATAAATATGAGCTATAATTTTGGCGTTATGCCTCTTTATAACTTATATAGAATTTTTGTCAAAAGTGGGTTTTTTTAACAGACAAGCTTTAACACCACATGCAGTGCTCTTTTTAAAACTATTTTTTAACATGTGTAAAAATTTGTTGTATAAATGTAACAAATTCTTGGATATTTAAAAGTTTTGTTTGCAGAAAAATGATATGTGTATATAATTTCAGTTTACTGTAAGCTTTCAGCATACAGGATCTTTAACCCTTCACTGCCATAAGAACGGCATATGCCGTCCCTATTTTTTTCAGCGTATTTGCCATATGGACGACTTTTGCCGTTTCTTTAATAATAATATTAATAATAATGATAAATATATAGATAATTATACCATCAACAATAATTATTATCATACTAGCAGATTTGGAAACATATATAATTATTATAATACTAATAACAAATAAAAATAATTATATTAATAATATATATATGATAGTAATTTCTTAGAAAACCCTCTGGCAAATAGGTGATCAATAAATTAATAACCCTCTGGCAGCAAAAGGGTTAAAAGTGACATTATTGCATTCCTGAAAGATTTTAATTGGTGGCAGGGAAAGGTTACCATCAAGGTCAGAATTTTAAGGTTTAAAAAGCAAATCCAATGAAATATCATAGGTAAGATTTGAGAGCATCTTCATGTTGTAATGAAAGTTAATTTATAATCTGTTATTTTAAAGGTACAACAAGAAAGTATGTATTTGGTGAAAACAACAAGCAACCTACTGAATAATTCACTCCATCCTGAAATGGCAAGGTAAGGTAGTTTTATATGAACTTTTAAACGTCCCTTTGATTGGTAATTTACCACAGCAATATTTTCATTTATGTTCATAAGAAAAGCTCTTTTAACCTTGTTCCGCGGGAAATACCGACTGCTGTCGTGTTCATTGGAGCACAAATCACCATTTATCATTGGTCAGTATTTCATGGGTTTCACGATTCAACGCACCTTGGCGATTTATGGAAAAAGTTGGTAGTGACATCACGCCAAGTACTTGTTAGAGAGTAGCCATATAGGAAACATAAAAAAAATAAACTGTTCAGTAATTTCAAAGCAATTTTATTACCTTCAATATTTGTTTTCAGTTTGTATTTGTTAAAGATATGTACACTGAAGGGGGGGGGGAATTATTTAATTTAAAAATTAAATTAAATTTTTCTTACAGTTGGCTACCAAACAATGAAGATGTTCAAGAAGCTATGGATTCCATGGTTGGAAATGCCTATCTGTATGGGAGAAACTATATCGCAGCTAAGGTTAATATTTTTTTGAGTTTTGAAACTCAAGTTTCCTTTAAGCAATATTGTATAGATAGCTGAAAATTCTGCAATTTTTAGCATAGAATGCTGTTCCTCTTCCTGTTAAAAGTTCTATCTAGTTTTACTTTTAAAATTTTTCTGTTAAGCACCCTGGTAACCTTCTAACTGCAATTTATTTACATGTATATGCTTAATTGGTCCTTAATTAATGGCCCCCATTTAATAAAGGCGCCACTAGAAAATAAAAAAGAATTTAATTTTTTAAGATATTCTCCAACTGAAACTATTGGATTGGTGCGTGAAAAAGCTACAATGGTTAAATACTTTTTTTTTTAAAATTTTTGTAGGTGCCTGACATGGTTTAAAATTTTGGGTTGTTATAGGTGCGTAATTATAGAACATTTTGTTTTTGTAAAGGTGCGTGACATGGTTAATGGCCCCACAGATAACAATACACAGATTGAGGGTCAGGTTCTAGACATGTGGGACAGACTGTATGAGAGCTGGCTGGCTAGGGTAAGAATAAACTAATACTCTCTTCTCTTAAATATTTAAAGATTTTAGCATGTTCAAGGAAATGGGGTGTATTTAATGTATCGCTTTGAAGTTATTTAGTCTATTGTTACCTACACTATAGCTTATATATAAAGTTACATGCCTTTTTACTGCAGTTTTTTGCTATTGGGAAAAGTTCGATTTTTATTTTTCACTAAAAACATAGATAATTAGGACAACGTAATGTAAGCAGCACATGTCACTGAAGTGGGCATTATATTGTTGTTTATATTTTCATGTGATTGTATTGAATGCACATGTATTTTTCAATTGTGAAAATTATTGAATTTAAAATCTCAATTGAATATTTTTTTAACGTAATATTTGACAGCACACCTAGATCTTATTTTACTTTCTTTGATTGTTTTTGCCTGTTTACTGTTACATGCATCTCACTGTGTTATTGCTGGGGAAATGTATTCAGTTTCTGTATTGCATTTGAAAACTTTCTATTTTCTTTTCATACTTGTCTTTTTGGATTAATTAGCATGATGATTTGAAGCTATTTTAATGTATGTTTGTGTTTTACCTAGCAAAAGTTTGTTAAACCTAGCAAAAGATTGTTTAACCTTTGTTACATTAAAGCTGCATACAAATGGAACAATGCTGATGGTAACATTGATTTTGAGGCTATCTAATAACTGTTAAAGAGTGTAGTGTTAATATTTTCCTGTAATTCCCCCCGTAATCATATATCTAAATATAGCATGAGAACTACTTGCTTTCACAATTACTATGTTCATTACCATACATGGGAACTACTTTCTGTCACAATAACTATGCTCATTACCATAAAAGAGAACTACTTTCTTTCACAACTACTATGTTCATTAACATACATGGGAACTACTTTTTTCCACAACTACTATGTTCATTAACATTCATGAAAACTACTTTCATTACTATGTTCATTACTACATTCTTTCGCAATTACTCAGTTCATTACTATACAGGAGAACTACTTTCTTTTCACAATTACTATGTTGATTACCATACATGGGAACTACTTTCTTCCACAACTACTATGTTCATTACCATTCATTAGAACTACTTTCTGTCACAAAAACTATGTTCATTACCACATTCTTTCACAATTACTTAGTTCATTACCATACATGGGAACTACTTTCTTTTTCAAATACTATGTTCATTATCATACATGGGATCTACTTTCTGTCATGATAACTATGTTCATTACCATATAAGAGAACTACTTTTTTTCACATCTACTATGTTCTTTACCATACATGGTAACAACTCTCTTTCACAATTACTATGTTCATTACCATACATTAGAACTACTAGCTGTCTTTCATAATTACTCTGTTCATTACCATATGTGGGAATTACTTTCTGTCACAATAACTATCTTCATTACCATATAAGAGAACTACTTGCTTTCACAATTTGTCAATTACTTTAGAAGTTTATTACCATACATTGGAACTACTCTCTTTCACAATTACTATGGTCATTACCATACATGGGAACTACTTTCTTTCACAATTACTATGTACATTACCATACGTGAGAACTACTTACTTGAAAAATTTCTGTGTTCATATACAGACACGAAGGTTAACCTAGAACGGCAAGTTGGATTTTTCTTAAGTTCTACCTGTACCAATGGCTTCTAAGTTTACACACTTACTAATCAATACAAAGTACATGATATGGGCAAGTTACATAACTCTGGCTTTCATATTTACCAAGTTATTGCCCTTTTCAGCACTTAAAAAATGAATAATGGTTAACCTAAAACGGCAAGTTGGAAATATCTTAAGTTCTATATATACTAATGGCTTTATAATTTCCACACTTACTTATCAATACAAAGTACATGATATTGCCAAGTTATATAACTGTGTCATCCATATTTCCCAGTTATTTCCCTTTTTTCACTTTGAAAATAGGGCCTTGTCTGGTTAACCTATTTCGGCAAGTTGGATTTATCTTAAATTTCTCCTAATTGCTTAATTTCTTTAATGATATCTTTCATATTTAGTAGATGGATACCTTTGATGGTCTTTTATGTTTACAGGTGTATTGACCTTATTCTATAGACAGATGTTATTTATAATTGATAGAAACATAAACTTTGATGGAGTTAGTGGTCAGTTGGGTCAAGGTCACCAGTACTTAAAATAGATTTTTACACATTTGCTCATACAGCCTTTATTAAGTGACAGATATATTTTATATTTGGTAGGAAGATAACTTGCATGGTATTCATCCTTTTGATTGGGGTAGGGATCAGTGGGTCAAGGTCACTTGTGCTAAAAATAGATTTTTACACTTTTGCCCATACAGCTTTTATTTATTGACAGATGTATTTCATATTTGGTAGGAAGATAACTTGCATGGTATTCTAATTTTGGATGGAGTAATGGGTCAGTTTGGTCAAGGTCACCAGTGCTCAAAATAGATTTTTACACTTTTGCCCATGTTTAACAAACACGTTCTTGTTTCACTACTATTATGTTTGCAAGCATACTTAAGAACTATTATCATTCATAAAACATGAGAACTTCCCTTTGGAAAAAAATCCTCATCATACTGGGTCTTACATTTTGTTTGATTAATCTTGCAACCTCGAAACATACATATGTTCCAGCCATGAACACTATGTTTTATAATATATAATTTATGTCTTCAATCTGATAACTCATTCACAACAATGAGAAATAATTTCATGTTTGACTTTTTCTATTCTAAATGTTGAAAGAAAAACTTATTTCTCTACCAATGACTGGCCATGAGAACTAACTTAGTCACATTCAAAAGAAAGTGAAAACCTAATAAGAAATTTGCAAAAATATCTTTCTTATAACAATAAAGTATATTTGAGATTCATTTTTTTCCACCCATGAGAACTGTTATTTTTATCATGAGAACTTTTTTGGCATGCCATGGAAATTTTCTTTTTGGCAATCCATTACAACTTATTTCTTAAATTAGCATACCATGAAAACTAATTTCTTTAGCATACCATGAAATATAATTTCTTTAGCATGCCATGAGAACTAATTTCTTAAGCATGCCATGACAACTTTCTTTGGCATTCCATTGTAACCAATTTCTTTAACATGCCATGAGAACTAATTTCTTTGGCATTCCATGACAACTTATTCTTACACAACCTGTTTGAATATAGTAATATGTTTCCAAGGGTGAGTGGTAGCCTGGTATTAAAAATGTTTGCCTTTCAACCGGGGGTGTAGAATCTTGCATCCCTGTTAAGCTTAAATAGATTTTTAGCATGGCTATTCAAAAAATAGGGGAAAGCTTTTGTTCTCGCCCCAACGTCAATGTCAGCATCAAATTTTTGTTAGTTTTTGCTTGCAAATTCGTATCTCAAAAAGTACTGAAGGGAATGGGTTTAAAAGTCCCAACACTGACATGTATTTTACAGAATAATGGCCATTTTTCAACTTCAAAAAATTCTGCTTTATCCAGGCTCTTGTTTTACTATCAAGCAATGGGAATAGTTGAGAAGGCTATCCTACTGACAGCTTTTATTTACAACTAAACTTTTATGATGGGCAAAATATATACAAAACTAAGATGCTTATCGTGGGCTTAGCGCAAAACGGTTGTAACTCACTTTTTTCCACAAAATAACATTTTTAACATTTTCAATGTGTTTTGTGGTTATGCATATCCTCAGTAAGTATTTTAAATGGATTCTGAAAATTAACAAGTTAAATCAATATTTGTCAAAAGGTTGTATCTCAAATTGCTCTTAATTTTCAGCGCAAAAGGGTTGTATCTCAAGTTACAACCTTTTTGCGCTGAAAATTCTGATAGTGCAATAGAAGTAAATTAGCATTCTGTTTGTCTTATTTGAATCATCACATGAAAAGGAGGATTTAAAGACAGTAGAAAAGATTTTTTGTTTTAATATATCTAAATAAACCTTAAATATTGGTAAAAAATCAAACTAAATTGTGATTTTATATTATCTTCGTGAAATTCTTAAATGTATATTACACTTATAATAGTTTAATCTCATAAATTAATTCCAATAAATGAAAATATCCACTGCCACAATCAGCAATTGTTTGATATTAAGTAAATGAAATAACTTTAGAATATATATTGAAGGACAAATGTCCATATTCCCCCCCCCCCCCCCACCTCAAAAACACAAACAGTTTATAAAATAACAAGGTGGACAGATTTAGCCCCTTATGGGTCGAAAATTAGCGCCACACTTATTTTTACAGGGCAGACAAACATTTCCATATTTTGAAAAAAATAATGCAAGTACATGTAGATTTAATTCAGAATATCTTCAGTTTATGCTCATAGTAGCAAAACTTAAATTGTTGCAGGCACAAAGTCTGTTCATGGAAGGTATGTCAAGGCCACCTAGCTCAGACCCATAATGTTTCAGAAATGCTTTTATTTTTATTTCTCAAAAGCTTCTAATTTTAGTGTTCTTATCAAGAAAGTTACTCATGGCAAATTACCTGAACAATCTTTTTCATCTTTTGCAATTTTGAAAGAAGTACAGTGAGTTACAGTGAATTAGTATTCTTTGTGGAAGTCAATACTGCCAGTGCTTTGATTACATTTTGCTACTTTTATGACAAATTATATTACATTGATCACTATTTTCTTCGTGGTACAAGCATCTTACATTCTCAAAAACCATATTATTAATTTATTATTGTGAATGGCTTAGAAAACTACTATAGTTTATCATAAAGGTATAATTAAAGATAAAAGAACGGAAGGGGATATGGGACCAAATAGAAGGGAGGGAGGTAAGGGTGTAATCTCCAACTATACAGACTAAAGACACGCTTCAAAATACAATGAGGAAAAACTGAGAAGGAATGGACAAAGTGGCAGGAACCAAGACCATTGTTAAAATCCCCAAACAAACCATTGAAGCAAATGACATACTTAAAAAGGAACAATAGAATGACACTGCCTTGAAACATGGAAATAGCAAAAACATAGCTTTAGAGTTTATAATATGAAGTCTTTTAAAAGCTTCTATCCACATACAATGTAGAATTTACCTAAAAGAAGTCCATATTAAACTCTATATCACAAATTCTGGGTAAGACCAAATTTGAAGAGGACCATGTTTAAATATTATAAACATCCAGTTTTAATTCCGTAATTAGTTTGTTATGACAATCTATGAAGTCTGTAACCCTTGACATGTTGGAACAGAAAATGATAAGTTCTTGCCACAAGTATAGATCCAGGCCAGCCTGATCACCTGTGCACTCAGTTCAGGTTCTGTACTGTAGACAGCTCAATTTTAGTTCCTGTATATTGATTGATTGATTTGATTGACTTTTCCAAATACAAAGCAGGGCAAATCCATTACAGACATTCAGCAGTTTATTTTTATAAACAAATTGTTCACTAACAGACAGACAGGGGTATGTTTTTTTTTCCAACAATATTGACCATGCACTCTTCATTTGACCCCCTAGCCAGTAAATTCGGTAAACTTTTGATCTACTTTAAAATCTTAATGAATGTTTATAATACTGCATGTTTGTAACGTCGCTTTTCATTGGATAATTGTGTGGATAATTGTGACGTTTATATAGTTTTATATACACGGCTCGCAGCTGTCGATTCATAAA